TGTTGTTGCTTGGCTTCAGATCTTTCTTCAGCAGGTCTATTAGGCGTGCAGATCTATTTGGGTGTATTTGTGCTGCAGGTTCTGAGTTGATTCCTGTTCGGCGATGGGCTTCCTTGTGGTTGTTGGACTGTGATGACTTAGTGTCGGACCTTTTCTGTGGGATTTCTTGTTTGGATATTCTACATCAGATGCTATCTTGTATTATATATTGGATGCTACATTATAAGATATTTACCGCTACATTGATCTTGAAAATGAATTCTCTTTCTGATTATTATCTCACATTCTTGTGCATTGATAGAAGAGATTGTAAGGATTGTGCATGTGTACCAATAAATAGAGCCCCCATTGCATTGCACAAAGGAATATGATGAATAAGAAGAAGTGAAGAACACTTCTCTCATATTCTCTTGTGTATTTTATATCTATCTTTGCTCTTATATCCGTTCCTCTTTCCTGTAATTTTTAAAACACCTTATACTCTATTATTATTGTTATTACCCGCTAAAAATAAATAAAAAAACTATCCTTAATTACAAAACCTAATACTCTCAATTGTGTTCTCAGTAAACCTTAATATGTGTTCTAATCTCCCCGAATTTCTATCAATTCTTCCTTAATTCTCTTCTCAAATCGCTAATTTCGTTGAAAATACACATCATTCTGCAACCTATTGTACATACCACTACTTCCAACTTCCATGTTAATGTTATGCACAGCTAATGATCACAACAAATCATATGGTTGTTTTTAGTAATTAAGCTATTAATTAAATTCCATATACAACCAATCTTCCCAATTTGCTTACCAAAATACACGATTGGACCTTTCCTAACAACTCAAATTATTGGGATAAATTGGTTCTTGACATGGTATCAGAGCTGGTTTGACCAAGTGGTCGTGTGTTCGAATCTCAACGACTCCCAATATTAACAGTTGTCTTCAAGCACATGGTATGGCGGGCAGCCTTCTGTGCGAACTTCAAGCCCTTATGAGTGACTTTCGTTTGAAAAGACGTATTAGTGTTGTGGTATATGATTCACGATTGGATCTTTCCCAATAACTCACCGTGTAATGTAATCTAAATCTAAGATTCGCCTGGAACGTAATCTAAATCTAAGATTGGCCACAAGACAAATATATTGTGTATGTATATCCCAATCACATGGAGGCGTAACGTCAGTGGGTGGATGGGGGGAGTGGATTTGGACACAGGGAGGACGAAATCACTCATCACTGTCGTATATTCAAGTCGATGGGAGAAATGGTCCATTGCACCATATAGCAGAAGCAGAGAAGGGACAAGGAGTACAAAGACATCAGTAGTCGACCCATGCTTGCCAAATAAGAGGGGAGCAAAAGACGTTAAAGAACTGATAGCAATCTTTGTTTTTAATTCACTTGTTCTTCCATCGATCTTACAAGACAGTACTGATCTCTATATACAGTAGTTGCTGCTATTCCTCAGTTGGCCGTGCAGTTGCAGTACAAACTGACTGAATCTGGTGGCAATAAAACGTAGTTGGCCATGGCTCTTGCTATTGTCTATAATTCGAGCGGTTGAGGGAAAATCTATTATATCGATCGATCGATCGATCTTAGTGTATAATTTATTAACGTTGTATCTCTTAGATGAAGGCTAAACAACAATGGAGCTAGTAGTTATCACCCACCCACCCATGCACCATAGTTTGTGTGTAAATTAACGACTGATCACGGTTACTAGCTAGGATCTGGACAGACGAACACGGGATTTGTCAGTCAAAAGATTTGAGACCACGTAAAGAACCACATTCATCCGCTAATAATCTGAGATGTTAACAAGGGAAGCGACAAACAGAGATCTTTCACCATTGCCTTACCGTGATACGCGAGACTAGATATTTGATGAACAAAACGTTAGGGGGAATCATTATAATCCTTCGTTGGAAAAAAAGGACGTCTAAGAGAATGATATATAAAATTTTATATAAGAACTTGTTGGTATGACTTGAGAAGTAGAACTATGTATACTTCTCATACTATTCTGTCATCTCCTCGTCAAGTATAGTGAAGCTGGCTCCCTCCCACGCATGGACTAACTAAAACATGTTATATTAGCGAACCACGTAAATATGTGTTGTTGTCTTTGCTGTACTATACTTTTTTTTTTTGGGTGAAATAGCTGTAATATACTTAAATAACAATTAGGGGAAACAAGTTGGGATGGCTACACATAACGAGAAGTCAAGGCTTTTTGTCCCCTTAGAGAACCAAAAGGAGACTAGAGATCTAGATCCAAATCAAGCTGCTCCCTTCCCAAAAACACGGCTAATCAAGTTGGTGTTACGTTTTTTTTTTATATTTATTCTTGTGTCTTATTGTCTATGATCTGTTCGGCTAGTAGAGAGCCAAGAGGGTCCCTCTGAGTTCGTCAAACGACACCGTTCTGAGAAAGCGTTGTAGAAATGGCCTGGCCAACCATGTTGGTCACTCCAAGTCTCGGTCTGTCTCTTCTCTCAACATTATGGCCGTTGATTTCTCAAGCTTCATGCCAAGCACATCAAGTTAGGGCCAATGGCTTGCTGCTATATTATGTTGGCCTCTCGAGTCTTGTATCTGTCTTCACTTGCTTTACTTTCGGACATTATCAGCTGTCATAACATTGATTTCTCGAGTTAGTACTACAAGTGAATCAGGTTACAATTCCTAAATTGTTAATGGGTTGTTTTGGATTACGCGTTTCATGATTCACGATCGTTGGATATACACTAAATATGCTACGTAGCCAACGATTGTGGGTCATGGTAGAACGATCTAATCCGAATGGGTGAAGGACCAATGTTGAGATTGATGCAGAAAGGAAGGCATAGGGAAGATGGAGGATGGAACGTGGAGGGGATAAAGGCAAGGCCGAATGGGTGAGAGATTTTAGTGCCTCTTGTTTGTTGCTCGTTGAGATATATATAAAAACAAGTTATGGGCGTGGGGGAAGATTCTGCTTCACTGGCATTTGTGTCCATTGAAGGGGACAATTTCTGTATGGACCAACTACCCCTCCATAACAACAATATTGCAAAAATTTCTTTTACCATAGGTGTATTCAATACATATCCAATTCTTTGTATCAGCTTGTGCCAAGTTAATGGTTTGTTTCTTAGGTTCAATCCCCCTAATAGTATAAATCTAATTCATTTGCCACTTCATGAAAATATGATTAGATGTCATGAGCCAAATATTGAGCCTTCGGCCTGTCCTGTATAGGATAAATCAGAATTAGGGATGATAATTTTGTCAAAACCCACTAGTGTTTTCTTATCCAACCCAATTATATTAAATATGAAATACAAATACAAGATAAATGAGTAGAGCTTGATGGGTTTATATCCATATGCACTTATTTGGGTAGAGTTTTTTAATCTGTGAATTTGGAGTTTGTACCCATTCACAAATGCAAATTAGAATTTGATACCTAAGAATTAAGTCCTCAAAGATATCGATGGAAATTTACATTTTAGTACCTAAGAATTTCGTGAATTACATATTGATACTTAAACTAAGTTTTTACAAATAGGTCCAATTTTGTATATGTAGTTAAACCATAATTTTATAAATAAATCCAATTTTATACCATAATTTTATAAATAAATCCAATTTTATATGTTTAGTTAAACAATGCTTCAACGTAATCACCCTATCGTTCACTTTTCCGGTTAACTCTCCCGTACGTTTTACCGTTTTTGATCTAATCCAACACATACATGTTTACAATATCGAAGCAATACTCATACTCATACTCATACTCATCTACAAAACCTCAAACTCAAATAAACTTCTTCCATAGCATCCCATAGGTTTACTTGGATTTGGGTAACATTACCAATGGATGTACCTAGGGGTGTAAATTGAGGCGGTTGTGGTTACCTGCCCCACATTTTGTGGTACCATCACTCACAATTTTACAATAATACTACTCACACCCCGCACCATAATGGTTAGTGAGTAACCACTACCCACTGCAGATTGGTGTGGGTCGGGTGTGGTTACCCTCAAAAATCCATTTTTACGAGCATGGAGTTGAGGCCGCCACCAACGTATTTGTATTTTGTAGCTCGACTATAGTGATATACAATTGTGTTGTTCGTGGAGACACAATTTTGTATATCGATCTTACTCAATGTGGATACTTTTCTTTTCGAGTTTGGTATTCTACTTTTGTGTCAGGGAGCTGTGATTTCATATTTCACCGACTAGGGGTGGAATATGACAAGTAAACATACAGATAAAAATTACTAAAGGTGCCCACTTTTGATGAATTGATTATTCTCCACTCTCTCGATTATAGTGTTCTATAAACTAAAAACAAATTATCACATAAAAATGCTTAGGGGCGTATTTGATTTTGGTGGTACTTTAATTTTTAGCCTCCCACTAATCAGATACTATTATATTATAAAGTATTATTACTAAATAAATATAATTAGTGTGGTTATTTTGTATTTTTTGGGTTAACCGCAGTGGGTAGGGGGTAACCACTAACTGCAAAAATTATTATTTTACTACCCCACGCAATCCACTACCCACAACTTGTGGATATGGTTACCCACAATGGCTGCGGGTTAGTACAATTTACGGTTTATCCACAACCCGCAACCCAAACTTCCACCCTATTATGCATAGTTAGTAAAATACGGTATGAGAAAGTTACGTATAAAATACATACGGAAATTTTACTTCATCTCTAAGGTAATGTTACGTTTAATAGTACGTTAATAGTCATAAATATATAAAATTAATTATATTAAAAATGAATTAATATATTAATAATATTAAATTAAAAAATTTAATTCATTAAATAAAGATATTATGTTATACGGGTTTTATACGTGTTTAGTACGGGAGCCATCAAATGAACAAGAAAAAATGAAACAGTTTGACAATAATACGGATACGAAATTTTTAAACTGATAAAATACATAAGAATGTATATAGGCTTAATTGCAAGTTTGGTCACTCGAATTGCTATAAAATTTCATGTTTGCCACTCGAACTAATTTATTCCATTTATATTCACTCGAATTAGTTGAATAGTCCAAGTTCGGTCACTCTCCGTTAACTTTCGTTAGACTCCATTAATGACGACCGTTAAGTGATGACGTGGCTAACAGAAAATCACAGTCAGCATAATTTAACACTAAAAAATGATGACCCGACCCGCCACGTCATATTTACCCGCCATGTCAGCCCTTCTTACCCAAACCGCGAACCAACCCAATTAATTGACCCAAACCCAAACCCGAGACACAAACCCCTGAAAAATAAACAGAGATCGAGCCCTCGCCACCACTACCTTACTCCTTCGCCGTCGCAACCTCTCCGCATCCGCAGTCACCTCCGAGCTCCCCACACTTGAACCATCTGCCGACGCCGAACTACTCTCGCAGATGCTCCTCCACCACCACAACCCTTTCCACGCCATGGAATCCTGCCTCCAGCTCAACGGAATCTCGCTCACGCCTTCCCTCCTCCACCAGACCCTAATCCGTCTCCGCCACAGCTCCAAGATCGCCCTATCCCTCTTCCACTACTCTCTCTCCCTCCCTTCTTCTCCGGCCACCTCCGCCGCTTACAACCTCATGATCGATATCCTCGCGAAGGTTCACCAATTCGACGTTTGTTGGCAGCTAATCATCAGATGGGGCAGCAAAACGACGAGGATTCAGATTCCCAGCCCAATTTCACCACTTTCTCCGCCCTCATTCGGCGGCTGATCGCCGCCGGATTCACCCGCCAAGCGATTCGCGCGTTCGAAGATATGCAAGGGTTCATTGGGTCGGTGGATTCGACCCATTTCTGCTTCCTGCTCGACACCAGCCATAACCACTGGAACAAGGATTTCATTACCAGCTCGGGCCTCATCACCCCCATCGACGCCACTACAACCCCGCTCTCCGCCGTGCCATATGCAGCTCCCATGCCTGCAACAACAAATTACACGAGCGCAACCGCAGATCCAAGATTAATCCTCATAGATCTACAGTAACTGAATCGGAAATCGGAAATAAAAAGGTTCAAAAATTATAGGAGAAGACGAGGACGAATGCGGCTCCGAGGAAGCCGAAGAAAGGAGCAGTCTCGTCGTCGCTGAACGTTTATGCCATTTCTGATATCACTCTTCGCCGGATCTGAGTGAGTAAGTAGAAGACGAGGGAGAGAGTAGTTGCGTCGATTGAATGATTGATTCAATGCATCTAATTCTTCTTCCTGATCGATCGATACTCTTGCTCGCAAATTTAAGGCAGAGAAGAAGAAAAGAGCGAGAGAGGAGATGTATCAAGAATAGGGCGAGGGCGGCAGGTGGATGGCTGATGAATGAAAGATGAGGAGGCGACAGCGACGGGTGGATGGCCGTTGAATCGGTTGGTTCGCGGGTTGGGCAAAAAATGGTTGACAGGGCGGGTAAGGCTGAGCTGGCGGGTCGGGTCATCTTTTTTTAATGTTAAAATATGCTGACTTTGTCTTTCTGTTAGCCACGTCATCACTTAACGGTCGTCATTAACGGAGTCTAACGGAGGTTAACGGAGAGTGACCGAACTTGGACTGTTCAACTAATTCGAGTGACTATAAATGGAATAAATTAATTCGAGTGGCAAACGTGAAATTTTATAGCAATTCGAGTGACCAAACTTGCAATTAAGCCAATGTATATATGTGTATTAAACGGAGTATTATTTAGCTATCCCTGTTCAGGCTTATTCTTTTTCTCATTTTAGGGTGGGCTCATCTTTAAGATAATTTCAGGCCCATCCTTCAAATAATCGCGGCCACAATGGGTCATAAGAGATAGCGGGCTAAAAGAAAAGGCCCGGCCTCTCGTTTTGTCAAGGGCGGTGGGTTGGGTGGTTGCTGTTACGTTGGTTCTAAGTTCTAAGTTCCAACGGACTCGTCGTCATGGCCTTCCCAATTCGCGATACCGCGATCAAGATTTCTCGACCGGGATTTTCTTTGCATCAGAATGGGGAACGCGTACTTAGGGATGGCAACAAAATCCGAACCAACGGATACCCACCCGACTCAACTCGGTCAACGTGGGTAAAATTCGTGTTGACGGGTTTTGAGTCGGGTTTGGGTTTAAATCTGTTCACTATTCATCGGGTTGGGTTGGGTTTGGGTTTAGGTAAACCCGATCCATGGGTACCCGCCCACACCCATATAATTAATTTTCTCGGTATATTTAATATTCTAAACAACTAATCTTATTTATGTTTGTGGAGACATGTCTAATTTTACTTTCTAATTGTGTAGAACGAAGTTGATGTTATCGAGTGGAGAGTGAAGAAACTTAATTGAAAGGAAGAAGTTTTCAATTAATCATGTTATTTATGGATAATTTATGATTTGCTTCAATTTTCTTGAGTTTTCTAGATTGGTGTTGAACAATTTGTATAGTTAATTTGTGATTTGCTTGAATTTCTAGAATGGTGTTTTATATATGAATAATTTGTATTGAGACATTGATCTTTAGTTTTAATTTTGATAGGAACTTGTTATTGTAATTTTTTACGACAAAAACCCGTGGGTACCCATGAACCCGTGGATACCCAGCGGGTTGGGTTGGGTTTGAGTTTTTCAAACCCAGTGGGTTTTACCCCAGGTTTTTTCCACGGATAAACCCATGGGTTTGGATTTGGCAAAACCCGACCCAACCCGACCCATTGCCATCCGTACTGCCTCCTCTGCGGCTGCGTGGACCAGGCCAGCATCGGCGTGGTGGAGCGATGGGGCCGCTTCGAGCGATTGGCCGACCCAGGGCTTCACTTCTTCAACCCCTTCGCCGGCCAGTGCCTCGCCGGAATTCTCTCCACCAGGATCAAGTCGCTCGACGTTCGCATCGAAACCAAAACCAAGGTTCCGCCATGTATAACTCTGATCTTTGCGTTACTTTCATGCCGAACGATGAGTAGTGATTCTTGGGCTTAGGATAGAGTACGAACGAGCTGTGAAACTTCAATTTGGAGAGTTCTTGTTGTTAGGATTTGAAACGACTATCATCGCGTTTTAGGGTTTTTTATGTGGAATTTTTTTTTTGTCATGAACTCTGATTGGTGGTGCAGGATAACGTGTTTGTGCAATTGGTTTGCTCGATTCAATACCGAATCGTCAGGGAAAACGCTGATGACGCTTTCTACGAGCTAGCGAATCCTCAAGAGCAGATTCAGGCTTATGTGTTTGATGGTATGGATCACGTTGGTTCGATAGAGAGACACTTCCTGTAGCTATATACTGCAATTTTCTGTGCTGATGGTGATGGATGATCTCCTTTCTCTTCTCTAAATTCAGTGGTTCGAGCTCTAGTCCCGAGAATGCCGTTGGATGATCTCTTTGAACAGAAAGGAGAGGTTGCTAAATCAGTTCTGGAGGAATTGGAGAAGGTAATGAATGGTTTGACATAGCATATCTCTGTCTTCTTCGGATTATTGTCCTGATCTAAATTGCATAAACTTGCTAAGTACTAGCTAATTAGTTCTTGGCCGGCTCATTGTGTATGCATACATATCCATTATGGATAGCTTGCAGCCTCTTGAACTTGAAGAGATCCATTTTAACCTAGTCTAATGCCCCAAGTTTTCAAATTTTTTCAGTGGAGTCACTATGTTCTTGTTTCTGTAACCTCTACTACACCTCGTGATTCGTGATTCGTTTTGTCGGAATGGTAAATCAGGTGATGAGTGCTTGTGGGTATAACATTGAGCATATGCTGATGGTCGACATTATACCTGATCCCTCTGTGCGGAAAGCCATGAACGAGATCAATGCAGGTAATCATCATATATGTTTCTTACCCCTACTTCGAGTCCTTCATGCCTGCAGTGTTTCGTGCTAAATACCGAACAAAATGGTTAGAATGAGGGCATATAGATTATTGATTAGCAAAGCAAGTTGCTCGGCATCTCTTCGTGTCTACAAAATACTTTTACCTTCCAAGCATTGAACCTGATGCTTACAAGAGTGCTGCAATCTCCTAGCTCGTTATGGTGTTTACCCCAGAAAAAAAGAAGAAAGTGCAACATGAACAGACTTGGTATTTGTTTCTGTTTTCAGCTCAAAGGCTTCAACTTGCAAGCGTGTACAAAGGGGAAGCAGAGAAGATTCTTTTGGTCAAGAAGGCAGAAGCTGAAGCCGAGGCGAAGTACCTTGGCGGAGTAGGAGTAGCCAAGCAGCGTCAGGCGATCACCGATGGACTGAGGGAGAACATACTGAACTTTTCGCACAAGGTGACCGGCACTAGCGCCAAGGAAGTCATGGACCTGATCATGGTGACTCAGTACTTTGACACGATCAAGGACCTCGGCAACTCGTCCAAGAACACCACCGTGTTCATCCCCCACGGCCCTGGTCACGTTCGGGACATTGGTGACCAAATACGCAATGGCATGATGGAGGCAGCTGCCTGTGCAGAGGGGAACGATTCTTAATGCGAGAGAGATGGCCTGAAATATATTACATAATAGTGTTCTCACACGGGTTTTTTCCCGGTCCAAATAAGAAGTAAGAAGTCTAGGTATATGAATAGTGTGGTACAGGTAAGTTATGCCTAAAATTTCTTTCTTTTGTATAAAGATACATGATTTACCACTGCTGTATTATTTGTTGTTTAGCTACAGCCAATTGACTCTTAGTTTGCTTTTTGGTGATAGTTTGGTTTTGATAGTTATAATGCATGCAATGTCCACAATGTATCGTTTTTATTTTATTTTCTGCGCAAACAAATACTATAATTTATTATTATACATGCATATTATTATACATGCATTGATGACAGTACATCGATTTAACTATCACCAAAACCAAACCAACCTTTAGTGACATTTCATCCCAAAAGTGATATAATTTATTTAAATACTATAATAACTAGTACAGAAACCAAACGATGTAAACTACAATACACCAATTTTCTTATATACATGTATATGATTATACATGCATTGATGACAATACATCGATTTAACTATCACCAAAACCAAACCAACCTTTAGTTTGAAGTATGAACTACCACTCTACGATTCCAGCTACTTTTGTATGTTGAGACGGTCGTTTTCTTTCATCCTTTTCCCACTTCCTTTTTGTCCCATTTTGATGTGATGACAATAATTATGACAATAGTGAATCTTATTCCGCCACCAAATTACAAATCATGGCGACAGAAATTCTACTAAGCGTTTTGCATATTAGGGCTCTAGAATTACTCAAGAAACCTGGGAGTTATTTTAAGGGAGCACTCAATGAAATTTGGGAAATTTGGCGAGAAATGATGAATTTGAATTTCAAACGTTTTTTAAATTTGCCCAACAGTTGCATTATAAATGTCAAGAAAAAATTCATAACTAAAACCACTTTATCAAATAAGCGCAAAAGTTACATTACTACAATGATCATCGATCTAATTCCTACGCAAATTTGATTAAAAAAACCACGGCCACATCATATAACACCTTTCTCAATTCATAGACAAATGACACGAGTAGAGTTAGGAGTAAGAATGTTTCTTGCATAGTTGCATAATGATAATTGTTGGGCCTAACTGTTATTTCGGGTAAATGCCACATTTGGTCATTGAGATTAATAAATCGTGTCATGTTTAGTCACTAGAAAAATTTAGTATCATTTTTTATCACTCGAATTACTGAAACAGGTCACATTTAGTCACTCTCTCGTTGGCCTCCGTCCAACTCCGGTCACTCGAATTACTGAAACATGTCACATTTAGTCACTCGAATTACTGAAACGGAATTGGACGAAAATCGGGAGAGTGACTAAATGTGATATGTTTCAGTAATTCGAGTGACACAAATAATATTAAATTTTTCTAATGATTAAACATGACACGATTTAGTAATACCAAATGTGATATTTACCGTACTATTTTTAAGGATAAAAGTCATCAAACCAAGTTTAAGCATCTCTTCACGTGAAATTTTTTAATTGTTCTTCGATTGAAACTCTTTTTCCTTATCTTGGACGAAAAAACCATACTCAAAACTTCACAAATGTGAGTCCTTTACACAATAAGGTTGAGGACACCGAAGAAAAAAGAAAGCCTCCGGAATTAGCAAAACTGCAATGATGGTTGGCTACAGAATTTCTGCCCGCCACATCATCATTCTGTAAGGCTCAAACAAAGCTTTTTCCTAATGAATCAACTACCTTTTCCCAATTTACTGTCTGATTTTGTACCATATGGGTAAGCATTGGTACGTGAAATTCCTAACATCAACAGAACATGATCATTTATTTGAAAAAAAGATTTACCTCACCTTCCAGGCTCTTCCTTCTCCAGTGAACAAATCTGTAGTTGTCTAAGATTGGCACCTGCAACAGTCAATGCGAACATTTGAGCTCATCTTACCTGTCGGCAGGGAGTTCACGAGACTCGAACCCAACACCTTCGGATTGGATTATAGCGATACTGTGATGGTGCTACAGTAGAAGCTCGTCGGTCCGGGGTCTCATCTCAACTATGGTTGTACACTGTAGATAAATGTGAGAGGAAAAAGGGAGGAACTCAGCTGAATTATTTACAGTTCAGGAAAAGAACCCTAATCTATGATTGAGAAAAAAAGTGGCCTCCCTGGATACAGAACTTTACCCAATTCCAACTGTCTGCAGATAGCAGAGAAGGCAATAATTAAAGCAAAATGTTAACAAAGAAATGGGTCCTGTCTACACCTAACCCTTGATTGCTGGGTAAAAATCGTTCTTTTCTCCCCAGCATCTTAAACCACATCTCCAGAAACCATACACCATCAACCCTAAATCGGTGCAATTCTCATGTTCAAAGCTGGTAACAGATTTTCAGAGGGGGGAGAGCAGAGAAGTAATCATCACTTCTTAGCCATGAAAATTACCTTCATCCTGGCAGCAACCAACCCTGATAATTGCTTTTTGTTTAACACTTTAAACCCTTCAAGTCAAAATGCTGAACCAAATTGTGGACTACTGGCCAGCCAAATAGTTCAAATACACCAGCAAAGTTGTCCTTTTGAATTGATATAAAGATGTATGCCCCTCTTTGGAGCCGTAGGCAAAGGGCAATGATGAAGGAAGGAGAATGATGGAAGTTGAAAAATGCCAAAAACAAAAAAAGAACAAATTATAATTAGAGGAGAGGTTCAATAAGATCATCATTCTTACTGGAGATAATTACTTGCCGTATGGACCTACCAACGAGAGCTATGTTTTAACCTAATAAGAATCATGAACTACACAAAGTACTAAAGAAGGGTAGCACTAGAGTCTTCGGCAAAAGAAACATGGACTCAGATTAACCTCTATAAAAGTTTCTTCTGTTTATATTAGAACAACCCTAATCTATACTAGCAATAAAAGCAGGCCATATATAGAACCTGTAACCAACTAACTATTCAATCAACTACCAACCAGAAGATTGGATTAACTACCAACCAGAAGATTTTTCAAGTCATGGCCGGTGCAGGAAGATTAGGCACTATTCAAACCAATCATGCATCACTGTAAAAGGATTAAGCTAACTTCAAAAGAGCAGGAGGGGAAAAAACAATGTTGCATCTCATATAATGGTTCTAATCAATTGCTTTCTTTTCCTATTGCTGCTTTATCAGTCATTATTGAATTTGATACGGTAATCTGTAGGTACCTGATGCACAGAGGCTTATCATAAAGCAATAACACAAATTTTCTTGTTACCTCATAATAGCAAGCCAGCCACAGCAAAAATGGGATGAAACAATGCGATAGAAGGGCCATGAGGAACGAATAATGCCAATTCAAATTTCAATATCATCATGTTCCACGTATCTAACATGGACGGTCTTTGGATCCAATAAACAATCAAGACCTGTACAAAGTGGAAACAAAAAAAGGTGTATGATATGATAAAAGGAAGTTTAATCATGGTAGTAGGCATTGAAAGTGTGAAGATTCTCAGAGAGAAGGCAAGAAAAAAAAAGTTATGTCCTATACCAATGATTATACTTTACTCTCTTTAACAAGAATATGAATGGAGTAAACAATGATACCATAACATATGAGTGAAAAGCTTTCCTTTCTAGTTGGTGAGCAGTCAGCCTTGCCGACAGATAACGTGCCTCCACCAAATTGACTATCAAATACAAACAGAAGTTGGGGTAAGGTTAATCGATCTAGACTTTCTTTCCGGTTCCAAATATGAGAGAGAGAGAGAGAGAGAGAGAGAAATTTATTCCAACATGCACACACATACACATGCACATAACACACGACCTCTTGGGTTGGCATCCCTTTCACAGAAATGAAACTGGACTTTCAAAAGAGACCCAAAAATTGAATAGCGTCATGGTGAAAAGGGTAGATTGGTGAAGATAATAAACACACTTAGCATGGTACATAATGATGGGATAGAGTAGATTGAAGCTGAAGCATAAAGAAACCATCTTTCTACAGTTAACAAGGAAAGGAACAGTGATGCTGATGGTGTCACCTACCTGTTAGTAATATTCAATAAAAAACAGGTTCAAATGTAGAACCTACAAAAATCAGTTCAAGTAAGTTGATATATCACTTTCACCGCTCTATTCTTACGTGCCCCCCTCTATCAGACAGCCATCTTGCTTCTGCTGGGATCAAGACTAACTTTTGGCCACACCATGCCAGCCTAGCTGATATTCTACAGAACTTCAACTATCAAGCTTGAAAAAATATTATGGGAAAAGGATCTCATGAGAATAAGCACATCACACACAAATTGTAATGTTTAGAAAACAAGTTATCGAAGATGGTGGGACATGTCTTTGGCAATAATTATATTAACCAAATAGATAAAAAAAAAAAAAAGAATAGGGATGTTAGAGAGAGTAAGAGAAAAGGGAAGGCGGTGATTGGAAAGGAGGACCCTTATCCCCGACTTTTCTTTGACCTGCACAACAAAAGCACTGAGATTGACATCCACTCTTCATCGCGGGCCTCTACTGTGTTCAGAAGCAGACGACCAAAGTGATTCAGCAAAACTTACATCAATGAGGTGTGTTCTCCTTCAGAAACAAATATTCAGTCCTGAGTGCCTTAAAGGTTGACCCAGTTGGACAGGCCACTCAAGGCTGATTCATCATCCACCTATCCTAAGCCACCATTAACCTGCAGCAGATAGAAACCTTCAGATTTTAAGGCATAGAATTTCTCCATCATTTAGCAGCAAATTCTTTCAACAAATATGTCCACAAATCTACATACTGCCTAGAATACATGGTTACAAATGCATTTTCAGTTTCCTGTATGGGGAATTCAAGGTTCATCTCTTTCGCTGAAGTTGTTTTCATATTCCAACAAAACTATGCAACTTAATATGATTAGTAAAAGTGTAGTTCAACAGAATTCCTTCACCCATGGCTTATAAGCTAGGTCCCATGCCATAACACAACAAGAGAAAGAACATAAGAACAAAAGATACATAAAATTAAACAATATTTTCAAGCACACTTATGCAACATGAATCCATGTAAGCTTTATCAGTTTCGAATTTTTTGCCAGCTTTCAATATAAGGCCTTTCATAAAAAGAAATCAGACCAAACTAACGTCGACATCTCTTATAAAACACCCGAAGTTGAGGGGAAACAATAAATACTGAACTAGAAAAGCCTACACAAAAACCCTAAATGATTATGGCATAGCAAAATACTCAGCCTTATATCAAAAGTTCACGTAGCAGAAGAATATACTGATCTCATCACATTTGCTGACCAGCAGTATGGATACTAGACACTAGTATGTTTAGATTTCAGGATTAACAGTGAAGTAGTGATTGTTGCTAGTGGCAAACATTTCATATGTTACGCAAAATTTCGAAAGGGTTTCCAGATGTAGTTAGCAGCCTTGTTAAATAGGCATCATAGCTGTACTTGAAATTCACTTTCTGGAGAAACACTTCAGATGGCATTTTACATACAAATATTTAGCAATTGGGATCAACTTGTATTAAGACTAAACCGGCAATTTTTTCGCCCCATAGATGCTGTTTCATCCATCAAAACTGACTACTCTCAGAAGCCTTCAGTTTAGGGACCTAAATGTTGTAAAAACATTTAAGTCAGTGGAGAAGTTATGAGTAGAACATTTCCAGTGGGGCTTGACTACTATTATACGAAATGCTCCTAATAAAAGTGGTTGCTCTATTCACACTTTTTGGCAAGAATTTTTTTGCTTTAAGAGAACAAATCTTTGTATATCTTCTGATGATTATACACAGAGTGGAAAAGAAGAGCTAATGACCTCAAATCTTGACAACAACTACACATAGTTTCAGAGTAATTAGAAAACCACTAAGCCAACAGTGACCCTTATGGTTTCCAGCAGTGACCATATAACTTTACCCCTACACCCAACAGCTGAACAAACATACAATTACTGCATGTACACTTTCAGATCAAAGCAGAAATTACATGCATGCAGCAAATACTTACTAATGAAAAGCTTGATGTCAGACGAAAATAAATCAGCGCTAGCTTCTTTGACATTGATGCTTCATATTTCTACAGCAGACCAAAAGATAAATCTTAAGTAAGAGTCAACACAAGACTATCTCCAAATAAGTTCAGGCGCCAGCTAAAAAACAACTACTACAATAGAAAAGCAATCAATGTGAAACGTCATGGGGAAGAAAATATGAATGGACCAAGCGAGGAGCAAGTTTATCCACCTTTTACAAACCCAACAGATCAATCATGAGAAGGGGAAGTGACTAATGATTCCATAAAATCATGTAGCTATCATGTTTGCTCAACAATACCACTCACTTCTTCATCTAGGTAAAGATGGAAAGATAACAACACAGTGAAAGATTCAATTAATTCTAAAGTTCCACAACTCTACAAGTTATTGCAAAGAAAATAAAAACATTACACTGATGGTGCATCGTCAAAGACTCCGTTCAGCATATCATCCTCACAGCGGAAGAGCTCCCTGTCTTTTTCTTCCTCGTCTGGTAAATCCCATTTTTCATGCTTCGCATGAGCTGCAATGAACATCATCTTCTGAGCCTGTTCAATGCCAATCTTTGAGTTTCCATTGACAGAGAACAGTTTCATGCAAGACCAATTTAAACCACAGGATGTAGCGTGGAGGAAAATTAGCCTAACTGCAACTTTGCGTAATGTCTTGTGCTCGCTCAAGCAGGTCTCCCACACTAATCTGCTGCTCTGAGGATTTGCAAGTCTCATCTTCCCTGTCAATGGGTCCCGCTGCTTAACCTGAACAGCCTGCGCATAAAGCGGGTCTAACCCTTCTGAACGCCATTTCATAAGCTCCATTAAAGCAACGTGAGCTTCTTCCCTTGAAACCAGACGGGTAATGACCATATCGACATCCTTCTCCTGCTCATGAGTCAAACACTTGAATGGAGGGAGGTACTTTCCACTTGCATCCTTCCTCAAATAAACAGGATCAAGAATAAATGCTGCAGACCATGCCGGGTGGTAGCTCTTCTTGAACCTCTTTTCAACTATTTTTTCAACTTGGCCATAAGTTACATCGAATCTAGCACACCAATCCCTCAGTTTCACTTTCACTTCCTCCCAAAGTGGGAGGCATTGTCCGACGAGTGGTCTTTCAGCCTCGACCTCTTGAACCATCCCTCTGACAAGCTTCACCAGTGAATAAACCGCTTCTAATTCATTCCAAAACCGTTCACTTTGAATCATCCCAGCAATTTCCCTAGCAACGGCATCCTCTACGAGCAATGCCTTGTACGATTCATCTAAGAAAACCATCTGGAGAACACGGGCACAGGTTAGAATGTCCTCTAACATCACAGAAACAGCCACGGAATCCTTCTGACAATCACACTTGCTTGAAGGAACTCGTAGCAACCCGGAATAATCAAGTTCCTGCATCCTGTACTTTTGGAACCTACTCCTAACTTGAGATTGATTGTTTACAAAAATGGCAACCTTCAAGCAGTTTTCAGTGACAGACCTGAAAAGTTGAAGGTCCTTGGCAAAATCCTTGATCAGACTGGCAAACTCCTGAACCTGGCAAGAGAGGTTCACCATCCATGGATATTGAATCTCCAAATTTCTCAATCCCTTGGCTTTATACCTATCTGCAACTATTCCTGTGCATCTCTGCAACCCACTGCCGCAGGTTTCTTGCACCGCTTCCCACATAATCTCTTCAGCATACTTTGGTGAAACTGATCCCCCATTAAGAAATGTCTTCTGATACAAAGTCGTACCGTTTGGGAGATTGAGGCTAAACTTAACATAGTTTTCTTCCCCGTTACAGCAACTTTTGGTCTTCCACCCATTGCACGCAACCTGAAAGAACATAGCATCTTTAATTCTAGCTTCCGTTTCAGCCTTGGCCTTCAGAAACTTGTCGTCAAGCCTGGGCCCACACAGGTCTTTCCCTGACAAAAGGGGCAAGCCAACTTGATGGAGAAATGCCCGAAACTTCGGATGCTCGATGCTTGAAACCGAAACTGACCCGCAAACCTCGTAGAACCAGCTGGTCAACAATTCAAGAGCAGAATCAATCTGTTCTTTACTCAACGAAGAAAAAGACGACGACTTGGGACTTTTCAGCTTCTTAACGCTATCTTCCAACATTGCCAGCGGACCCAAATCATCTTTCCCGCCGGATAAAACCAATTGCTGCTTCGGCTGGCTCAACCCCACATTCGAATAACCACCACCATCGTCGCAGTACCGAGTGGAGTCTACCAAAGCAACGGAATTCAGCGGAGTTGCCAAAATAGAGGGGCGCTTCCGATGATTATGCGTTGATGAAGGAGAAGGCAACGACGAAATGGGCTGAGGCGAAACCGGAACCGCGGCCGGATTAGGTCTCAGGAACGAGGCGAAATTCGGGCAAGTACCTCGCTTGAGATGCTCGGAGGCGGTCCTCGAAGGGTTGGAAGCCGAGAAAAAGGAGTCGCAGAGTGAGCACTTGAGCTTGACTGCTCTAGGGAGATTGGTGTCTGGGTTTCTTATCAAAACCGGCTCCAAATGAGCCCAATACCACGCCCCTTTCCCCTTTACCGCCTTGCTCCGAATCCCAACCAAGCCTTCGTACCTTCTGCTCGCAGCTTTCGCCGCCGCGTCCTCGGGTAGCGACGAGGAAGGGTCAGTGGGCGTTGAACTCGTGGACGCCATAAATAGAAAATGGGTAGTGGGATTTGTAGCGGTAGTAGTAGTGGAGGCTGCGTTTGGCCGCCACAAGTCCAATTCACTTGCAGCCGGCATTTAATGGTAGCAGCCCATCAAGTCGAACAACTGCTCTCGACCAAACGCAAACACCCACCCTCTCCCCCGCAATCAGGCATCAGGCGGCGAGAGATGACGAGAAGGAATCCATGGCGGAGAGAAAAAGGAGAGGGTAGACGGTAGAAGGTGGGGAAAGGGAAAGGGAAGTGGTACGAGAGTGTGAACTTAGTAGAGCTGGAGTTTTTGTACCGTGCAGACGAAATGTTTGCGGAAATGTCAAGCTGAAAAAAAGAAAATGTTTGTGGAGGGAGGGGACTGGGGAGCCGACGAGAGGACGGCAGCTTTGGTATAAATGTAACGACTTAAGGTTAAGGAATGGGGGAAAGGGCCCGACCCGACCCACCATAGAGACGGAGAGAGACACTCGAAGAGAAGAGAAATGGAGAGTCGAGAGGGAAGAAGAAAAAGGCTTGCAACCATGATCGCCAGACTAGAGACAGAGACAGCTCCTGGGAGAAACGTTTTTTCCCCCTCCTTAGTGCCCAATTCTCAACAGTTTTTTTTCTATTTTGGAGATTGTTTATTTGTGCATTGCCTTTTTATCATTCTTTTGTTTTTATTTATTTATGGGAAACTTGTATCGCATACGGGTGAGCAAATACTAGTATACCAATCTACCCGTCCAATCCGACCCAACTCATCCGTATTTTCGTTAAAACGAAGGTTTTGGGTTGGGTGAGGGGTTTTTTTTTTGGCCAAATTCACTTGGATAGCCAAAACTTTGACGTTTGTGACAAATATAGCCACTTTTGGAGAAATACCAGAAATAGCCAGAATTTTGAAAGTTCGATGACAAATATAGCCATTTCCGTTACATAGTTTGACGGCGTCAATAACACCGTTAGTCAAATTAACCAAACGCTTACCTGGCTGCCAACTCACCGGACACATCATTGACAACTCAACAATACTTGCCATGTCATTTTTTAATTTAAAAATAAATAAAAATGATAATTTTTTTATCCCCTCTCCTCTCCCACCACTCGCCGTCGAAGAACTCTTTCCTCTCCCTCTCCTTCCACCACTGATTCCAACCCCAAACCCAGAGACAGAGAAGGCGAACTCGACTCCAGGTTACAATACTGCTGCACAACAAGCACCGACGTCCTCGCCGCGAAATTCGACGACGCCAACAAATCCCCAATCGCCCCCAATTCAGGGCACTCGCTCCAGTCCGTCAACCCCGCTATCAACGGCGAAGTCATCCCTTGTCCCCCTCCCCACAATAAACAGATTGTGCCCTCTATGGCTCTATCCATCGACCGAATCGCCGCCACCGTCTCCTCGCCATTACTCGCCACGATCTCCGAATACGACACCGAATCGCCGTTCGAATTCGCCATTTTGAAATCCCTAATTATCTCCTCGTCTAGCTTGTTCCTACCTCGATAATCCAGCCCCGCCGCTCCCTCCACCGCCAGATCCACACTCAGATCTCGACTTTCAGATCCGCGACGGCTGCGACGACCGCCTCCTGCTGGTGCTGCTGCTCCGGCGGCGGTGGCGTTCTCCTCTGGGATGAACCTCACGACGGTGACAAAATCCCTGGGTGCGCCAACATCCTCCAAGCGTACGACAGCGCCTCCCGATCGTCGGGCCCGTCGAAGAACAACACCGCCACGTGGTGCTGGACCTGATTCGTCCCCGTCCCCTGGGTGCTCCACGATGATGATACTGCAACAGCGATGAAGATCTGGGTGCGATGGCATAGGGGCGGATCGATGGTGGCCGGTAGTGGGAGACGATGGCGAGCAGCATAACAGGGGAAGATCGATTCGGGGGAGTTAACTGGTTGGAGAAGATGATGCGAAGGTGAAGGTGGTCTGACGGGTTTTGATTTGAAGGGGAAGGAAGAGGATGATGATTTGGGGGATGTGGGGTTGAAACCGGAGTTGGGTTTAGGGGGATGTGGGGTTTGGACAATTTTTATTTTTTTATTTAGTTTTTCATTAATCTATGTGGCAATGTTGTTTAAAAATGTCACCACCATCTCAGCAATGTCGTTAGTCCAGTCAGCTATTTGGTTAACACCGTCAAAGAATTGGACGGAAGTGGCTATTATTGGTATTTCCCCAAAAGTGGCTATATTTGGCAAAATCGTCAAAGTTTTGGCTGTACAAGTGTATTTGGCCTTTTTTTTTTTACAATCCGCCTCTTTTGGGTTGAGTTTGGATTTTGGATTACACAACCCGTAGAACCCGACCCAACCCATGTTCCAACTATTGGAAGGAGTTCGTATCCAAAAAAATATTTATGTCGTATATGGTCATACTTATGAGAACATTAAGATATTTTCCTCTCATGGTCTCCCTAATCTAATGCATTCTTCGGCTTAGAGTTTAGACATAAATTTAATATAACTATGATTCACGTAATCCTTTTTCTTGTGTACAATTTCAATAGAATAACATATTATAGATGCATTCATTTATAAAAAAAAATTTACCCTATTTCAACAAATGTCGTCAAAAAAACTAGACATATGTTGAAGTAAATCACATTTTATTAAAATTCAAACAACATTTGTGAATTTTGATACCTTTCACCTCAGTTTATTTGTTTGAAATTTTAATTAGTTATAAAATATTTCTATGGTATAGAATAATTATATATTTTGTGTTGTGTTGGGTTTTTACTTACAAATATCACCAACCCGACCCAGCCCAATTAGAAACAAACCGTAGGGTTTAATTTTTTTTTTTTTGGTGGGTTTGAGTTTAATATTTTCCAAACCGCAGTGCATGAGTCGGGTAATTAAAATGGCTAAACCCGAAATACCCGACCCATGTACACCCCTAGTATCTCATAGTAATTAATGGTAGCAGTTACATAATCGAGTCTAACCACACTACTTTTTCATCCCAATGTGTCTCTGAATGAGTCATGATATGCGTCGCTTCATTCGCCTTTCTCAGGATGTGTCTCCATGTATCATTTCCTAGTTGTGCCAACCTTCGTCTTATAATCCTATAGAGGACTCTCATCTCGCTAAGGTGATGACCTAGTCTTCGAAGCTTCGGGACCAAAGTCATACAATGCCCTACACGGAAGCTCTTCAACCTGAAACTGTAGCCATCCTTCACTGGTCATCTTCTTTCACCCTTTGAATTTCTATTGATATCTATTAGTAATCTCAACAAAGAGCTCCTTTTTATCATCCCTACAAATGTGCCTAACCCAAAATATTTGTCGTTTGTTGTATGAAGTTCATCACCAACATGGATTCAGGAGCATCACCTACAACAAATAACTCATCATAGTAGTTAGTTGACACTTGGAACAATTACTCTTGTCCCACGTGCCACGTTCATGCATCATCTTGTGGATTGCGGAATGAGTTTCTTTTTTGGCATGACGAAGCGTCGTGATGGTTCTAGTATTGTTCCTCATTATCCTTCAACTCGATCATCTCAGTTTCCAACTACTTCTTTTGCTCAAGTACTATTGTTGTCTGTTGCACACATTTCAACCTCTCATCGCCTGCCGAATGCTTTATCGTTGCTTCGAGAACCTTATGAATGTATGGCAACTCCATTCATCGAGGCAACATTGCCAACCTCCATTAAAGACAACGTACTGCTCGCCCCAACATCCCTCTGCGCACACTCAATAACCTTCAGACACTCCTTGTGCTTTGCCCATAATAGTTCAAGCCAAAATCACCATACCCACATGAGTTCCTCATCCTCGTCGCCGAGTGTGTTGCATAGAATTGGATTATGATCTTATCTGCGCTTGTCCATATGGGTGACTAGTGCATGATTAAAGTTATCTGACTAGCTCTTCGAGATAACAAACTTATCCAAGCATTCTTCCATAACCTTCCTATTTGATGGTTGTTCTCTCATGTGAATCGATATCCCTGAAATCCTATATCATGGAGTCCCCTATCAATAAGACATTCCGCCAACTCCCTTATTTCCCCATCCTCGGCAATATTGCCACTACTCTTCTCTACCCTCGTTGATACCTAGTTAAAAACACCACCACACAGCCACATGCTGCTCTATCAATTTCGCTACTGTCAGATCAATTTCGTTGATCCCTACTTGTTGTATCCATGCGTCCACACACCATTGGATAACTTCTCTAAGCTCCATCAATTTCGCTACTGTCAAATTAACCATCCTTACACACAACATTCCTTTTGCCATCACCATTGCATCAAACACATCCCTCACTACCATTCCCCCAACGAAGTAAGATTCACAACAAACTGCACCATCAAAGGAACACACCATAAGAACTTGACTCTACATAGTATTCCCCCTATCACCCCATCATGCTGCTCCCCCGCTCACACACATTGACTCCTCTTTGCCCCTACCTCTACACCCTCATAAACTCCACTACTTGCACAAAAAATTGATGAACTAACACCATTAACCAGAACCGACATCCCTTAAATGACCTTCGAATTCTCGACCTTCCAAATCCACCACTAGAGGCACAACTAGGGAACAACCCTTTAAACAAAGGCGCCCCTATCTAGAAATCACCGAATAAACTTCCCTAGTTATTCCTCATGAGCCCCCGGGCCTCCAGCTCCTGCCTAGTATTTCTCAAAGGGCCTTCGCTACCGGACACTCCAGAAAAAGATGCTCCAACCCAACATTATTCTCAGTAAAGCCTCTCAAAAATCGTGTCATATGCTTGTCAAACCAATGAAACAAGATGATAGGAAACTTAAAGCATGCCATAACATGAACCGACAAAGCATTTGCAACCGCATTGAGTAGAGTTTCTTTTGCCGCCCACGAAAGGTGCTTTTGTTTCCAACCTTGATAATAACTAAGAGGTTCTCCTCCACATATCAAGAATTCATATATTTATACTTGGCAATCAATGTAGGTAACCCCATATACTAATCTTGCAGCCTAAGAGCCCAACCCTAATTGGACAGCCATTGCCTCCCTGTCCACCAGCATTATATTCCAATTGAGGCAAACTGTTTTTTTTTTTCTAGATTCACGAGCTGACCACTTAGCTCTTCATAATCCCTCAAAATCACCAGCAACGTGTCTCACTCACTAATCAACCCTACAGGAATAAGTAGGAGTCATAAGCAAATAACATAGGGGATACATGGAGCATGTGGTCTAGCCTGCACCCCTTCCAAACTGGAAATATACCCCTTGGATTTTATATAAAAAATTTAAGACAAACTCCTAAGACTTTTATATCAATTAACGCGCAAAAAAATCTATTGACATTTTTGTGGGTTCTTTGGATGTGAGGTTTGAGTCTAAATGTCACATATACTCCATTTATTACAAAAACTCATTGTTGACTTTGTCGAAAAAGAATGTGAAAATTTACATGTATTTTTCAATTCACAAGATTTATCTCCGAATTTGATGAGTTGCGAATAGTTGGCTAACCGTGTAGCTAGGATCCTTCCGTTATTCTCTTCGAAGTAAGTTTGTTTTGATTTATATGCAGGGATTCGAAAGTTAGTTGTCCATACGGACTCTGCTGGCGCGATCGACATTATTAACTCCGCCCCAGTTCAAAGCCCCCATCACATTCTTGTGTCTGAGGCTATAAGACTCTTAAACCCGGAGTGGGAAGTTAATATCATCCACGTTTTCCATGAGAGCAATTTTGTTGCTGACTATTTGGCCTCGCTTGGCCATTCTCTACCTGTTGGTGTTCATTATTTTGATGTGTCGAGCCCTGCTTTGGGGTATTGGTTGCATTTTGACAAAATTAGAGTCCAGACGACTCGCTTAGTTAATAATTAAGGGTTAGAGCGCCTCACTGTGCTCTGTTTCTCACCAAAAAAAGGTCGTGGCCGGTCGTAGTTTGTCATTGGTGTAAAAATACATTGTATCATCTAAATGCATCATGGAATGCAGTGATCTTTGGGGGTGGGGGTATCACATTTATAATCATCTGAACTCAAATTACACATTCGCCCATTCTCTCAACCATGGGAGTTATTGTGCATAAAATCAATCTCCAATTGAGATTAGGATTGGGCGGGTGGGTGGTTAATCTGCGGGTTGATATTGATCCATTCACAAATAATCCGAACTGCAAGTAGTGAGTGATTGATGTACCTAGATTGCAGATTGGTAAATCTCATACCAGCATTTATGTGAGTGAGTGGTGGGTGGATTGCGGGTTACCCGAATGACCCACATTGTATTTTAACATGTCAAAATGTTGTTTCTTATGCTATCGAATATCCATAGTATTTTTTTAACCGCACTACACATAGACCATCTACTTCAAAAAAATGGAGAAGAAATAATATTTTTGGACTACTATTATTGGCTTTTGTGTCGTGTAATATTCATTAGATAGTGAATACAAATTATAAATTATTAATTTTATCAAAGTCGCAAAATGCATTAGTTTTCTCAATTTCTCCGCATAGTTGGTTGATAGAGTATTGAAATTTTGATGCAAATACTACATGGATTCAAATGAGACAAAGTGAGAAGTATCTAAATTGATATACTCTTACTAATTTACAAGGAACTTATTATATGTGTTAGTAAATTTTCCTAATGGCTAGTTGGAGAATTACTTTTGCGGGATAACCCACAACCCAACCACACCCATTCGCCACCCACCCAACCTAATCCGCAGAAGAATGTGGGCGGATATTGAGTCATAGTTATACCAACTCTCTAATAAGCGACTGAGTCAATTTGAAACCAAAACCATCCAAACCGCCCATTGTCCGCCCTAATTGAGATGAATGAGAAAAAAAAAAGCTATTTTCCATTCAAATGATATGATTGGTACAAAGTAAATCCTACCCGTGGCTTCAAATTATTCGTTAAACCGATACAAGTGCGACGCATTTAAATTTTGTTCTGGATTATTATACTAGGCAAAAGAATGTGAAGTGGTTGCCTACAGTTGAAAAGAAATCATATCATATCCCCATACATAGTTACTTTCTATTTTATTATTTTTTTCCATTGGAATTATTAATGGATCAGTGTACATGGACAAAACTTCAAATTCCCTTTTTATCATTACCAATTATTATTTTAGTAAACCGAATTAAAATTTTAAAAAGAAGTTTAGTGGGAGATTACTAACTAATTACGTTCTACGCCCTCACGGGACAAAGTGGGACAAATGAATAGTTGCGTAATTATGATTGTTGATCATTATGTCATCGAGAAAACTAAAATTAAAAAAGAATAAGTAAAATGTAACATACAAGGTTATGATAGTTATAATATTAAGCATTTTGTGCATGTGTCCTAATTATATTTTATATCAACCTGCTGACACGTTTTTCACCGTTTCTAGTTTTAATCTATTAATAATATTTTTTCCCCGTTTGGTGTGGTGGTTAGTGGTTACGGTGGAATCCAATTATTTCCTCAACACGGTATACAAAGGGCATCATATGACAGATTCTAGGGTGCATAAATATTAAGAGGGAGCGAATAATACCATTAGACTATATATTGGGAAGTTTCTAAATGGAGCATACATGTCGTTTGAATATTATCGTATTTGGTTTGTGTTCGAGATTAATTACGACTCGTTTAATATTTATACTATTTGTCATGAAATGATCAACACTCACAAAATGTTATTTGGTAATCTAGAGTCTTGTTCTTCAACCTCTTTTTTTTCTTCTTCTTCTTTTTACAATCCAAGAGTATGATAACAACTACATAAAAATGGTCTTTCTAATATTTTGGAGGACTGAGTTAAAATCAAGACTAAAATATCGCATTTTGGTTCTATTCCAAAGATTAACTTGACAAAATGATGATCCCTTCAAACTTGTATCCTCTTAGACACGCCTTACGCTTTGTGTCTTTCCAACTTGTTTCATATAATACCCTCTAAAATAAAATAAAAATGTACTAATAGAAAACTAATGCAGCGACATATCAAAAAATCTGAACGTGGAGTTAAAAAATATGCACTTCACTGGTTTAAACAATAGTCATTGGAGGGGAAGTTATAGGAGGAATTTTACAATACTTTAAAGGCAAAATACACTTGTATAGCCATAACTTTCACGTTTGTGACAAATATAGCCATAACTATTTGAAAACACAAAATAGCCAATTCCGTCCATCTCTTTAACGGTGTCATCTAACGCTATGACTGGACTAACGGAAAATGCTGAGTTGTCAATATTTTATCAATAATCATATAGGGTGGAATTAACTGAAAACAAAATAATAATTAATTTTTTATTATTCTCTCTCCTCTTTCTCTTCTTTCCTCTTCCGCCACAAAAAACGAATCCCTCTTCTCAATTCCAGATCCGCTCTTCCCCACGGTGGCGGTTGTCATCGCCGGTTTCGACTCCCGTTCCCGGATCCGAACATCATCAGAGCATTGGCGGTTGAAAACCCAACTCCGATGATCCCGCCGCTTCCGACCCTTCCTCTACCGCCTCCGATGATCCCGCCGCTTCCGAGCCCTCCTCCTCTTGAACCCCCTGTTCTTTTCTTCCCCTGCCTCCGTCGCGTCCCGCCGCCATCCAGATATTCTCCCCTGCCTACCCACGCCACCGTGCTGAGCCTGCACTCTGGCTCCGTCGGATTACCACCGGCGTCTTCCCATTTGCAGCCCCACCAGATGGTTTCCAGTGATCTCTCCGACTCCAAATCCATCCTGCTCGAGCCCCTTCAATGGCTACAACTACTATCCTCCAACCTCAACCCAACATTCATCCTCGGGATCTTCGTTGTCTACGACCTCATCCAGGGCTTTTGGGCCTCCTCATCGACGTCTTCCCCGTCGGCAAGTACAGGCGGCAGCCGTACTTTGTGGCGGCCAGGGTACTGGTGGTCAAGCTCCTCTCCACTTCCCAAGCCTGCGACGACGACCCCTTCTCCCACCACCACCGCCTCTCCCACGTTTCCCTCAGCGACAACCACTCCTCCTCCGATGCGGGCACGGGAATCGCTCTCCCGCGGCGGGAGATCGAGGAGATGCCGGAGAAGCAGGGGACGGAGATGAGATCCATGCTGCTTTGGCTTTGACCTGAAGGATGCTGTTGCGGTGGGGAAGGGAGGGGATGGATGAGGGAAGGTATAGCGACGGTGGGGAGATGAGATCGAGAGAGGCGGCGGAGGTGGGGATAGGGTTTGGGGATGGGGATTGGGGACCGAAAGGGTAATTTGAGAGTTCTGGTAAATAAAGTGCTTTTTTTTAAATTAATGAAAACGTTAGCATATTCCACGTAGATGAAAAATGGCCATGTCATAAATCACCGTTTGTCCAGTCAGCACCTCATATTTTTTATTATTATTTACGTGGCATTCCACGTGTACGTTTTGCTGATGTGTCAATGATGTGTAGGTTGGTTTTCGTCCTCGTCAGCGTTCCGTCAAACGATTTAACGGAGTCATAGACGGTGTTAAAGTTTCTAACGGATTTGGCTAGATTTGTCACACTACCCTCAGTTTTTTGGGCTATTTGTGGTTTTCGAATAGAAATGGCTATATTTGTCAAAAGTGTGAAAGTTATGGCTATACAGGTGTATTTTGCCTACTTTAAAGCATTAGTGCTTTTGTTTTGCCTTTATGGTACAACTTTAGGTTGTACCTATATTCTTTTGTAAAATCCCTTTATGGTACAAACTAAACTTGTACATTTAAGTTATGATACAACTTAAAAGAGTTGAAGTTGTACCACAACATAAAGATCAGTGACTGAGTTAACGGTCAACTTTGAGGGTTGACTGCCACATCAGACAAATTTAACTGAGTTGAACGGAGAGTGACCATACTTGAACCATTTAACTAATTTGAGTGATCAAGATTGGATTTAAATATTTTCAGTGACCAAGCATGAATGTTTTTTGTAATCTCAGCGACCAACCACGAAATTAACCCTTTTTAATTAATTATATAAATATTTTAGCCACGTACTCCTTTGCAATGTTGTCATAACCGAACCGGAGCATGACCCGGTAATGCTAACGGCTCGGACTTTAGTGGTCCAACCGACACTAGACTGTTTAAAAACCGTTAGGAACCGATACCTAATAAACGTTATCAGTATAAATAGTGGACATTTCTTAATCAGAGCTCGTCTCTTTCCTTCGAAGTTGTGAAATGGAAATAAGGATTCAGTTTGCGAGCCCGACGTTTTTGGTTTATTTCAATTTTTAATTTTCTGCAATTTTTTTAAAATAAATTTAACTACTGAATGACAAAAACCGGACGAGCGGCTCGAACGATTAACCGCCTCGACCGCTCGTCAACCGCTACACAAACTCGAAGCAGCTTTTAGATTGTTTCGAGCTGGTTTTGTGATCTAGTGTCAATTTTACCGGTCGGGCTGAGTGGGTTGGCTTTAATAACACTGCTCCTTTGTCATGAAAGAGGAAAAAAGCGGCAAAAAAGTAAGGTAAACAAACGGACTCGTTGATAGTTAAATTGAGCCACGTATTGGCGAAAAGTCTGTTCTGTTCTGAACACCCGGACGGGGATATACACCGGGATTAGAGAAAATCCGGGCCGAAGCTAATGGCCCAAGCCTAGGAAATTCCTAGGCCCACAAACAAATTGGCCCATTAGAAAAGTCGGACACTTGTCAACCCATAAGAACACAGTACTGCTACTGCGGACCAAGACGGAGTTTTGCCTTCCTACCTCTGCAGGGTTTTAGAAACGAAGTGGAGGCTAGGGTTTTACAGAACACAAGACCAAGAAAGAAGCGGAAGGAAGAGAAGAAGACTGATTTCTTCCCCAGCTAAGAAGAGCTATGGGGTTCTGGGGTAATTGTCGCTCTCCATTCTCGATTTCACTGTTAAGTAATTGAGGCTAAATGTTTTCGGCTGGTTGCGAAGAAAATGTCGAGAGAATGGATTTGATAGCCATTTCCAGAGCTCTTTCTTTCGTTTCCCTAGTTTCCATTTGGATATTTCTTGAATGCCATTGAACCTCTGACGCCTTGATCCCATGCTTCTGTTCATCAGGAATTGAAGTGAAGCCAGGAAAACCTCAACCTTACCACTCTGATAATGTGGAGGGAACGCTTTTTGTTACCCAGGCAACTCTCGGCCTTGGTAAATCAACCGATAGGAGCATACTCCAGTGTTCAGTTGGCCACAAGAGTCCGATTTTCTTGTGCTCGTTGCTGCCGGAGAAGACCGAGTCTTGCCCCTTGAAACTGGAGTTCAAAGATGAGTTGGTAGCTTTCTCGGTAGTGGGCAAACGGAGCATTCACCTCGCTGGCTACTTTGTGGCCGACGAAGGAGACTATCGTCTTGATGAGTATGAGTCGTATCCTTTTGATCAGATTATCATTAGAGTTTACGTTATGGGTGGACTGTGTGTTAAAAAGAAACATTTAATCGTCTGTCTGAGAATGTGTGCTAGTGTGTGTTGGTGTTGTTGTTGTTCTTCCTTAAATTTGATATCAGTGATTCTGGAGAGGACATTGCTGATACAGAGTCGGATGACGAAACCAGTGAATTTGAGTATGATGATGAAGATGGCGATGAATTCATCAATGATGGTGATGATGATTTCAATGTGTTCCGTTCTTCTCCCGTCCCAAATAGCGGTGGTATGGCTACTCTTTTGTTTTGTCTACAAAGCACTTTGTTTGGCTGTGGTCCATTTCAGAACTGGCAATTTGACTAATCTGTGTGGTGTGATACTGATTTTCGTTGTAGTTGTTATTGAGGAGTTAGATGATGATGAGCAACCGGCAAATGGAGATGGATTGTCTAAACTGAAAAAGAAGAAGAATGACAGTGGTGGTGTCTCTGTGATGGAAAGTGAAGATGAAGATGGGTTTCCAGTTTCTGCCGCAGGAGAGGGAGGAAAAGCCATTATTCAGTATCCTGAATCTAAGAAAAATAAGAGAAAAGTAAAGGCAACTACTGAACCAGATAGCCAACCTGAGAAGTGAGTTAATTCATCATATGGACTTTGTATTCTCAAAAATCGTAACTGAAGCTACGAAATTAAATCTCTGGATGATGTGTGTTCAAATCTAATCGGTTATGTTTCTTATTAATGAAGCTACTAAGAATGCATGTTCTTACTTAATTTTGCACCAGGAAAAAGAAGAAGAAACAGAAACAGAAAGGAGTCCAGGAAACTGTGGCTGATATGATTGAAGATGATAAGAAAGAACTGTCTGGCGATGAAGCTCTACCTGCAGATGCAAAAGAAGTATCTCCTGATACACAAGAAGGTGATAAAAGGTATACGAAGCTTACTGTCTTTTTAGTGTACCCTATAATGTTTTCCATTTGCTGTGTAGTAAGAACAAGCAAAATGAATGTTCCCAATCAAGTGCAGTGAAACTGATGTATATGATCCATGTGCAGGGAAACTGAAGTCGATGAAGGAAGTGCAGCCAGCAAAAGTGCCTCCAAGAAGAACAAGGAAAAAAAGAAGAACAAGGAAAAAAAGAAAAATAAGAAAGCAGGTGAGGAGAGCACAGTTGGGAAGCCTGTTGAAGGGGTGACGTCAGATGGAGGTTCTAATGAGAAGCAATCTGCTTCCAAGTCTTCGAGTGTTAGAACCTTCCCAAATGGACTGGTCATTGAGGATTTAGATATAGGAAAGCCAAATGCTAAAAGAGCTTCTCCTGGAAGTCAGGTACGCTTTTCTTAATGAAGTCAACCTTTCTTGAAAAGCCAAAGACCAAGTTGATGATGTTTGGTAGTATTAGGAGGAATGTGGAATGAATCATGGGGTGAAATTTACTTTATTTGGAATCAGGATTTGTGGTCAAAAGGAGATTCTGATTATGTCTAATTTGTATGGGTGCTTCATCACTAATTAAATGTTTAAGACAGGAGAATTGGACTAGGATTCTTTGAGTAAGCCATTGATGAAATGCACAAAGCTTTATATGACTGGAATGGCTATGTCTTGGTCAACAGGTCAGTGTGTGCTATACTGGCAAGCTTCAGAAGAATGGCAAGATTTTTGACTCTAATGTGGGGCGAGCGCCATTTAAGTTCCGGCTAGGTACCTCGAAATCTGATTTATGGGCACAACATGAACTGTTTTCGTGAACTTGGGTTTTAACTTGATTTTCTTTCCACTTGGTGCAGGCGTGGGTCAAGTCATAAAAGGATGGGATGTTGGTGTTAATGGTAAATCACTTCAAAGTTATTGCTTTTTCTCTAATTCCTAGCTGGACGTAGTTTAAGTTTTTATGCTCATTATTATTATTATTATTATTTTGAATTTCTCAGGCATGAGAGTTGGGGACAAAAGAAGGCTCACGATTCCTCCGGCAATGGGGTAAATCCTAAATCCATGTTTCTTCCTCCTTATATTGAAGAATGTGAGGACTTATTAAATGCCGCAGCACTGCTGCTGCTCTTGATGCTGAGAGATGTCTAACATTGTTCGGTATGTGGGCTTTGTGCAGCTATGGGCATCAAGGTGCTGGCAACAAGATACCGCCAAATTCGTGGCTGGTTTTCGATGTAGAGTTGAAGGATGTCCGTTGATCGAACACCGACATGGGTTTTGTTTGTTCTCTTGGGAGGTTTCGAAAGAAATCAATTGGTTTGGCGAGGATTCATGATGGCGGTCGATGAGAGTTTCGTCAAAGCTTCAGGGTTAGCAACAATGGCTTCTGAAGAGTGAAGACCTATAACTTGTAGCATAGATCTTGAGAACATGGTTTTGGATATGGAGACTGTCCCAAATATTTTGTAGTATTGAGTTCCACCCCCATCGTATCTCTCAACTGATATGGAGTGGGCTAAAATTTTGGAATGGAAAACTTGCTTGAATCTCTCCTAGTTCTTGGTCTGATTCTTTTGGATATTCAACTTCACTGGTTCATGGTACAAGTTCTTGTCGCACCTCGTACTGTTGGTTTAAAATTGAATTCATCTTTTTGTTAGTGGCACTTCGATGTAGTGCGATATAGTTACAGTGTGGCAGCTATCCAGCTATCGACCGTCTGTCACCTTTCTCCCTCGCAAACTCCTCTCCTCGCGCGTTCCATTTTTGTCCGCTGCTTGCTTGTCGCACGAAGCGCCGCCGCTAGCCTTCCGGCTGCATCTGCTTCGGTTCCCGACGTCCATCCTTTCTTCTTGAAGTGATATCGAAAACGCTGGCTTAAACGCCTGTCAAAAGGTACCTCAAATTCTCGAGTTTTTTTAGTCAAGGGATGATTTAGTTTTCAATTCACATACAGTTCCTACCAGTTTATCGTCTTAATCGAATGTAACTCTCGGTTTGTTAGCTTCTCCCGAAAGAACAAATGGCGGTCAGGTTTTTAGAGTCTAGGGTTTAGTTTCACATTGTGCAAAACCTGCGGCTTTAAGTTGGTGATGGAATTATTCGACGTTATTTTCTGGGGTTATGCAAAGGACAACGCGTACTATTGAATAACTTATGCTTCACTAGCTTGTATCAGTTGTGAAGTATTTGCATTCTTAAAAGGTAAACGGATAGTTGCAGAATCACAGCGTTTATTTCAACTGCTTATTTAGTGAAAAGATTGTATCTTGTCTTGAATTGAAGTTTTCATGTTCATTGTATGATAGCTTCACATGGGGACTCCTAAACTAGATTCAGATATGGAGGATGCGGAGCCAATGGAAGGTGAAGTTAGTAGGGAATTTACTGATTCCGATTCCGACTCAGGGGAGGAAGATGTACGAAAATCGGCTATTCCCTCTAAGGATGCAGTCTACGATCGAGATGCTATCAACGATAAGCTTCGAGAAATCAGCTGGCCAGAGAACTTAGGTTGGACACACAAACTCTCCCTTGACATCAATCAGGAGCAAGGCGTAGATGTAAACGACGACCTTGCACGTGAGATGGCATTCTTCACACAGGCATCGGAAGGGTCAAGGAGGGGGTTTGAACAGAATGAAACAATGGAGGACAAGAGGAACATGGAGGAATCAGAGGCGAGAAGGAAAGCTAGGGATTCGAAGAGGCTAGCTAAAGAGGTTCAAGCTCAGAAGCAGAAGGAGAGGGCAGCACTGAAGAAGTCGGGGATTGAGGCTGTTAAGAAGTGGAGGAAGCAGAGGCAGCAAAATGGGTTTCCTGCTGCTGGTGGGAAGAAGAATGGTGATGAGATTGGTTTGGAGTTTGGAGATGGTGGGAAGACGTTTGCCAAGTCCAACAGGCAAAGACCAGGTGTATCCCCAGGAGACAGGTCCGGGGGGAAGGGTAGAATGAAATCGCGGAATGGCGCTGGTAAACCAGTGAAGAAAATAGTGAAGAGGGTCCGAAAGGACTCGAAGTTTGGGTATGGTGGAAGGAAAGGCATGAAGAAGCAGAACACTGCTGATGCCACTGATGATTTCAGGGGTTTCAGGAAAGCAGGTGGTGATGCCGGGACTAAGAGGAGAAGGAAGCAATGATATTGGAGAAAACCAAGTTACAACAAAGGCTGGAAAATTGCAGGAAGTCAACAAGAATAATGGACCAGCAAATTCTTTCCCAAGTACAGTTACATCAAATGATTAATATGCAGCAGCTTGACGGACATGGTTATATTATGCTATTACTCTCCTAGTACAGCTTGCCAGGAAGTAGCAATTTACCTTTATTTATTTATTTATTTATCATTTTAGTTCTTTACCGTGACCTAATTTCTTGTTGAATTGGATTGTTTCTGTGACCCTTGAAATGGGCTAAGAAGATCCAACCTTTTTCACACTCTGTTTGAGCTTTTTGTGAAGTAGTCTCCAATTTTTATAGCAAAAGCGTCATCAGAACTTGACCATCAAATCACTGAGACAGTTTCAGGCCGGCAATCGGTATGGTGAGGATTCAGGGAGGCAATCGATGAGACAGTTTCGTCCAACTTTAGAGTTAGCAACCATTGAGAGACTGCCTCAAATATTTGGGTGTTTTCATTTTCAACATCAATGGTTTCGTGTTACTCTTTTTTATTTATTTAGAAAACCTCGGTAATGTTAGTTTATATAGAATCTATGATTCTTTAACAGAAATGCACCATACTTCCACTACATAGGATCGAGACACTATGTGGTTGCGGTTAACAAAACCAAATTTTGCTATTAATCGCAATTGAGACTAAAACATATCAACCAACCGCAACCGCACAAAGAACGGTTAGCGGTTAACCGCTAATAACAAAAATGGTTAACGGTTAACAATATTATGAAAAGGAAGGTAAGTTGATGATGTGAATTGTGAATGAAGAACAAGCGAAGTTATGATGGAAAATGGTGTGATCTGGGCCAGACCAGACAATATATACCATCTGAGGTTCAAACCAAGAGGCTAAACTACTGACCATGGAACATACTATATGCTATATGGTTCAAACCAGACCACACCTACGCGGTGCGATACAATTTGGACCAGGCAGACCACATTTAATAAAACTACATTCTTCTTCCTCCCTCTGACTCTCCTTGGTATCCATAGAAACAAAGGTTTTGTAACTAATATGCTAGTAACAAAAATTTAGTGACCGTGTTTAACTCGTGAAGAAATATGAAGGGAGAGATGGGAGTGTTTCAATTTTTATACTTCCTCACCACTCTCCACCGCTCTATCTAGTATCACTCAAAATAAAAATAAAATACAATAAGGAGGTTTGTCTCTACTTTCTCATTGTGCTATCGCCTTTATCGCTTTCCCAAATGATTTGGAAGATTATCACTCTTTGAATCTTGATTCCCCACCAATGACGTCGAGACCATTTTGAGCCACTAGGTTGGCCGCTTCGCTCACAATAATTTTCATGATATAGTCAATGTAAATAAATTTTGTCATGCATTATTATATTATCGATTCCATAGTCGAGACATGACGGTGGATATATTTTTCCTATTTTTTCTTGTTTAGTTTTCATTAGGAGATAATGTATAAGGGAGCGCTTGAGCAGTCTATAGGTTTTCAATTGGATGGACTATCAATAGATTTACTATACTTGTACTAAAATCCATAATAGGATGATTAGGTTGCTTACTCGTTGTAGTTGGATTGATTAGACATGCGATTTGTTCAACGAAATTCGGAAGTGGAGATTTGGTATTATTTTGGTATGCATTGGTGGGTAGTGGCCAGTGGGGGTCACAGTCTACCACGATTTACTACGGTTCACCATGGTCTAGGACACTTCAAACCACATATTAAAAGAAGAGATTGCTAATTAGATCAGACCATGATCATGGTCTCAAAGTCTAGACCAAATTAGTAGTCTGGTCTAAACCATAGTTTCCCATACGATTTGGTATGAATTCCTAGGCCCTAGCCCTAAGGGGAAGGAAGGAGGGTTTCATCTTGTGTTGTTCGGGCTCAAGGTTGTCAAACCGGTTTATGCCAGTGCGCCGGTTTAGCAAGTGGAATGGTTCGACCGGTGGCACATACCGGTTTGTGCCGGTTCATGCCGGTCAATATTACAAATAAAATTATAAATACTCATATTTAAACATGACATTTAACGCCAATACCTAAACATTTATACTTGAATCCAACAAATAACATCAATATTTAACTTTTATATTCATAAAATAAATAATAAAATAATGTTTATCAATTAAATTCGCTAAAATAAGGTCATTTTACTTAGAGATTCGTATATCGATCATGCCCGTCATACTGGTGGTGTCGCGCCGATTTTATGACCGGTATCGGTTGAACCTGGTACAACCGATGGCACGCCGGCCGGCGTGACAACCATGTTCGGGCTTCAAAAACTAGGGGTGGCCAGGTGGAAATATAGGATTGAACTTCTATTCTTTGGTAGGTTGGGGGCCTGGGGTTATGGAAAGTGGTCTATTATTCGGTTAGCTAAACAATTGTAACTTATTCGGTTGCCACTAAATCGCCAATCATAACATGTTATATCGATAACCACGACCGTATAAAATCATTTTTATTCGGTATGCGGTTAACTACAAACCTTGCGATTTCGAATACGACTAATGGTTTAATCTTGCAATTTCGGGTATCCGAAAATGGGGAAATACTAGAATCAAATAGTGCTCTACTATTCAAAATAAGGATTTGGACAAATGAAAATTTTCTGAAAAAAAAATCCAATTAATCAGTATGTGAAACAAAAAAATTTGGAGATCGAACCCATTAAAAAACGAAAAGAATAATTTTAATCTTTATTTGAATTGACTAAATAATCAGAAATTTAATAGTATATGTATGTTATATTATATATCTAAAACTAGCGTGGCCCCGGCCATTTGGCCGGAGGAAGGTGAGATATAAAATTTGATAATATAATGAGGTGTCTATCTTATTGTTGTATATTTTTTTTGATAACTACGTGGTAAAAATAGTAAATTTTAGTAGGAAAGAGACATGAATAATGCAACGAATCAAAAATCAGCTTTATGAACCAAAATCAAGTGTCTGTTACCTTGTGAAACAATATTGTTTCCAGTAATATGATGAGGTGGAGTAAGTTTTATAGAAACCGAATTCCAGAAAATTGAATAAAAAATCGCCTATCCCGCCAGTTTTCGGGAAATGAGCATCTCACAATCATTGCTAGCTTTTACTCGGCCCGTTGGCCGATTAATTTGCTTTATAAAAATTTCATCTTGTCATCATTGTGCTTTCTGTTTTTTTTTTGCCAAGCCATGATAAAATCTAAAGAAATCAAGAATGAATAACACGATTTGGGATAAGAACCACCGTTCCTGTATCCCTAGAAAATGGTGGTAAACACGGACTCCCCTGTCAAACTGGTTTGGATTGAGATTTTTATCGGGTATCAGGGAACCATGTGATTATAAATTAGACTTGATCAAAACGGGCCAAAACTTGAAATTCAACATGTTTGACCGACCCATGCCAAACTCTAATTATTCTTTACTTTTAAACTTTCTATTTGAAAATAAAAAATAGTGAAAGAAAAGAGATGACTGCAATTCTCCATTTGCACATCACTGATTCAGGAATATAACTATAGAATTTCGAAAGGAAACTAAAAATGTTTAGGATCGTTTTAATGTTAAAAATAACTAAATAGATCGTTCTGTTTAGTTTTTTACTAATAAATACCAAATGATTCCCTATAATATACACTATAATTTAATTGTTATGATATCAAATAATTACATAATATATATTTGAAATGATAAAAATTGGACTAATTAGGTTGGTCGAGGTTGAATCATTGAATAATTTTAAAATACATTATATTTTAGCCACTAAGATATAAAAGAATAGCATAATATATATTATGATAGAGAAAATAGCTTGTTTTATAATGGCAAACCCATAATGTTCATTTGTTTTACTTGATGGGCAAATCCCGTGTAGGTCAGGACCATTCAACTCTTTTATTTTATGATTAGCGGTTAGCCCATTAGAATCCATGCATTAGTTTATTGTTAAATTTTTTTCTTTTTAGCAATAAAAAGGAGTATTGTTTTTGCCTTTTCATATATATATTACCACCACGGAGAAATAAAAGGACTTAAAGAAAAAATTGACACTCCTAGACCCGTTTAAAACTCATGTGTACGGTAAGTTGGCTCGTTCCATAGAGGTAAAAGAAAAAAATTGACACTCCCTATTCTGCCCTTCCTACAAACGCTCCTAGAGCAGGGAATTTGAAATGGGGGAATAGTTTTTTTTCCTCTCTGCGATTATATGTTTTTAATTTAAAAAAATATAGCAAATGTACTTAGTGTGATTGGTTATGATCTTTGCTTTTCTTTAAAGTGGTCATGGTTCGAATCCTAGTAAGTGTCTTTTTAATGAATAAAAAAAAGTAATTGTGAAGACCAAAATGTCTTTCCTACTTTCACTCTGGATGCAAATGGGGCTTCAAGTTTTCTCATTTGTCTTTTATTTATTGGGTAGATTCTAGATGCAAATCCACGGTTATCCAATTGATCCAATTGAGTCGAACGCGGTCGTTTGAAAGGACGGAGAGAGTTCACAGGATAAAATGCCAAAACCCCGAAGGACCTTTCTCCCTATTCCGTCCCCTACCAAAACTCCTCGCGAGTTCCATTTTCGGCCGCCGGCCGCATCTTCTTCAGTTCCACCGTCCGGCCGCATCTTCTTCAGTTCCGCCGTCCGGCCTTCTCTTCTTGAAAGGATATCGTAGACGCTGGCTTAAACCACTTTTATAATCCATAGGACCCGGCATCAGCACGCCGTTAAAGGTACACCTCAAATTCTTGAGTTTCCGAGTCAAGGGATGATGTAGTTTTCAATGCACGTCCTATTCCTGTCAGTTCATCGTCTTAATCGATTGTAACTCTCGGTTTGTTAATTTCCTCGTGTTCGAAAGAACAAATTGCGGTCAGGTTTTTAGAGTCTAGGGTTTTGTTTCCCATTGTGCAAAACCTGCTGCTTTAAGTTGGCGACGGGCTTATTCAATGGGGGTTATTATGCAAAGCACTGCGGGTACTTTTGAATGACTTATGGGTTCGCTAGCTTGTATCAGTTGTGCAGTATTTACATTCTTAAAAAGCAAATGGATAGTTGCGGAATCACAGTGTTTAGTTGAAGTGCTTATTTAGTGAAAAGATAGTATCTTGTCTTAAATATGAAGTCTAGCTCAGAGTCACAGAGGCAGTGCTTTTCATTATCTGGGAGAAGCTAGTTTATGCATAGGGTTAGAGTGAATTGGAATTCCCTCAATGGTGGGTGTCATGACTCATGAATGGTTCTTATTGCGTGGAACCTTCAACTCTTCGCTGTCCTCTTTCCTCTATTTTGTGTTTACGTTCTAATTTGTAAAGTCCCTTTCTTTAAGAACATATACCTCTCCGTCGTATACTACGTGAAGAGTTGTAAGAAGAAGTATTATCCTTTTTAGGACCATCATTGGTGCTTTGGATAATGAACTAATCAAATATGGGTTTGCATTTTGTGTATAAACCATGCTAGTTCAGTTCTGATTTCATGCTTTCATTGCATAAGGACTCTCTTTGTTTGTAAATAGTTCCGAAGAAATGATGCTAATAATTTTTCACTTGTTCCAGAAGTCTAAAATTGAAGTTTTCATGTTTACCATATAATAGGTTCACATGAGAACGTCTAAACTAGATTCAGATATGGAGGATGTGGAGCCAATGGAAGGTGAAGTTAATGGGGAATTTACTGATTCCGATTCCGACTCAGAGGAGGAAGATGTACGAAAATCGGCTATTCCCTCTAAGGATGCAGTCTACGATCGAGATGCTATCAACGATAAGCTTCGAGAAATCAGCTGGCCAGAGAACTTAGGTTGGATACACAAACTCTCCCTTGACATCAATCAGGAGCAAGACGTAGATGTAAACGATGACCTTGCACGTGAGATGGCATTCTTCGCACAGGCATCGGAAGGGTCAAGGAGGGGGTTTGAAAAGAACGAAACAATGGGCATTCCCTTTCTGAGGCCTCTGGACTATTATGGCGAGATGGTGAAGTCGGATACCCACATGCTGAAAGTGAAGAGCCGACTCCTGGCTGACAAGAGGAACATGGAGGAATCAGAGGAGAGAAGGAAAGCTAGGGATTCGAAGAGGCAAGCTAAAGAGGTTCAAGCTCAGAAGCAGAAGGAGAGAGCAGCACTGAAGAAGTCGGAGATTGAGGCTGTTAAGAAGTGGAGGAAGCAGAGGCAGCAAAATGGGTTTCCTGCTGCTGGTGGGAAGAAGAATGGTGATGAGATTGGTTTGGAGTTTGGAGATGGTGGGAAGCCGTTTGCCAAGTCCAACTGGCAAAGACCAGGTGTATCCCCAGGAGACAGGTCCGGGGGACAGGGTAGAATGAAATCGCGGAATGGCGCTGGTAAACCAGTGAAGAAAATAGTGAAGAGGGTCCGAAAGGACTCGAAGTTTGGGTATGGTGGAAGGAAAGGCTTGAAGAAGCAGAACACTGCTGATACCACTGATGATTTCAGGGGTTTCAGGAAAGCAGGTGGTGATGCCGGGACTAAGAGGAGAAGGAAGCAATGATATTGGAGAAACTAAGCTATGACAAAAACTCTCTGTTATTGCTATGTTCAATAGGCTTGTCTGTCCTAGAATTGTACTGAAATTTTGTGGTTATCTTTATGATTCAGTTTCTTCTTTTGCTTAATGAATGATGTTGATGTTATTGCCTTTCTGGTTCTATGATTTTGTCTCCCGGGTGCTCATTTTTGGCATTGTTGGTGGCCAGATCTCTTCTGTTCTGAACTGTAGACAGCACAAAGCCTGGAGTTTTGCAGCTGCAATGTGTTGTTCTATCAACTACTTCTCTTTGGATGTATGTTCTCTTATCCTGGGATCATTTCCCCTGCTATGAAAAGGAATAAAACAAAGGGTGAAAAATTGCAGGAAGTCAACAAGAATAATGGATCAGGAAGTTCTTTCCTCAGCACTAATGATTGCCACAAGGTACATCGAATGATTAATGTGCTGCGGCCTGACGGACGTGGGTATATTATGCAGGTATTACTCTCTTAATACAGCTTGCTAGGGAAGTGGCAATTGACTTCTTTTTTCATTTTTAGTTCTCTACCATGACCTAATTTCTTGTTGAATTGATCTCTATTATTGTCTTGGATTGTTCTCTATGACCCTTGAACGGACTAAGAAGATCAAACCTTTTTCACACCCTGTTTGAGTTTTTGTTGCAGTAATCTCTAATTTTTATAGCAAAAAGTCATCAGAACTCAGACCATTTAATCACTAAACTACACTACCGTCATCATATCATTGAACTACAAGTTCGTCGGTTTAATCTGCCTCAAAATTTTGCTGCATCGATCATATCCGGCAATAATAATAGCAGGTTAGAAGAATCTATGACAGTTCTTGTTGTTTGGTACAATGAATCATCCTCTACACATTTGTTTTAATAATTGCTGACTCATTTGTGTTTGATTATTAGAAAATTATAAAACCAGAGACCCCCCAAGCCCACAGTTGTCAAGAGACACATCATCAGTTTGATCATAATCTAAGCACCGAGTAAAGATCCAATTTTTCTTATAAAATAGTCTGTTTATTAATCGTTTTCTTAATCCACTTTCAAGCTTTCAGACCACACCTCCTTCTACTAACTTCCGCAGCAAAAAGCTTCAATCTTTCCTTCCATTTATATACCCCAGCCTTTCAATATCTAACTCCCACCCGTCCATTCTTCATTTTCCTTCTCCCATCTCCAAGTGGGTTTAAGGAAAGATGGTGGCTTCGACATTCACATTCTTCTCATTGGAGCTGATAACTCAGGCAGCTTCGAGCTCAGTGGTGGTCTTCTTCTTCTGCAATGTGATCATTGTCACCATCCTCGTCGCCTCGAGGCCGCCTCCTCCCGCGGCGGCGAGCGGAATTAGCCACGTTTCGGTTGCAGGGAGCCATTACGCGACCATTTATCAGCAGGAGGAGACTGTTATTGATGGACATAGACATACTCTGCATTCCAACGAAGAAAACAGAGCATCGGAATCGAATTTGAAATTCGTAATTACTACCCACCAAGATGAAGAAGAAGAAGAAGAAGAAGAAGAAGAAGAAGAAGAAGAAGGGGAAAATGAAGAAACAGAAGAATTAGGGGACTACAATGGCGATGATCATGATGAATATGTGGAGGAAGAAGATGATGAACTGAGGAGGAGAGTTGAAGAGTTCATAGAGAAGACTAACAAGGCGTGGAGGGCCGAAATGCTTCGCACATCACAATCGCGGCTGATTGCAACTCGTTGATTGATTGTGTCGCAACGCAAAATGGGTGATGGGCGTGGAAAAGTCGGAAGGAACAGAGTTTTTGGTTGTTCCTCAAGGAAATTCAGGAGCTGCCATGTCCAGAAATATTATGGTGGCTGGTTGGCTTCTTTATCTTTCTCTTTTTTTCTCCCCTGGCTTTTCAGTTTTGAATATGTGATTACCGGCTGTAACTATTTTCCTTCTTTAGTAATTATTTACCTCAGACATGTATTAGACCCTTCCGGGTGCAAGAAAGTGACTTTGTGGAGCTACAAATTTATCTAATTAAAGCTTCATGTGTAAGCTCTTCTATGGTGAATAGTGAAACGTTCCTCTTGTACTTTGTTGTGTCTACCAAAGTTGTCACTTGTCAATGCCTGTAATTCCAGAGTTGCAGAAAAATGGTGGCCTTCCTACACTAGTACAATTCACAGATACTGCACTCTATGGATGATAGATGAAGACGAAGTCATGCATTATGCCTACCCAGATTACTAGCTTAGCTCTTTCACTTGCTCACATTTTGTGGCCTCAAATGATAACACAACCAATAGCCTGTTGGGAGAATCTCTTACGTCGAAACTTCGGCCGTAATTTTGTGCTCTGTTATCTTAACAAACGAATTCACTTTAGTCCGCCTTCGTCACACAAAATGTTATTTGTTGTCCCCAAACGGGTCATTTTGTGGTTTTGCAAAATTTTCGGACATTCATAACTTTGCGCTTTGCAATTCGATTATTGCAAAAAAAAAAAAACATAACTTTTCAAAACTACCATCCCAAAAAATTGAAATGTTATGTAGAATAAAAAAAAAACACTATGATCGGATAATCGCATATGAAGTTACAAACGTTTGAATTTCTTATGTACGTTAGGTGTAGATCGCTGGAGTGTCCAACGAGTTTTGTGTTAGATCGCTGGAATATGTCATGATTTAGCCGGTTTGCTCCTGTCTCCAGCGATCTTGGATGATTCGCTCCGGTCTCCAGGAAACTGATATCTCGATCGATGTACACCGCAACAAAACAGCTCCAAATTTGTGTGTTTTGAATAATTTTGGTATAACTATTTTTTGCCAACTATTATTTTAGTAACTTTGGTGTTTCGGGGAAAAACTTAAAAAAAGTCCTCTTTAATAGAAACTAGAATCAATACCCACGGCTACGCCGCAGGAACTAAAGTAGTTGCAGCATAATTGTATGGTGGCCAGTTAACGACAAACTCAGGATCGTGCTACTGGCAACAGTAAATGTATAGGAGACTTTTGTATCTTGAATTCCATAGTTAATCAGCATAGAAATATAGCTCACAACACAACCATCATTTGCGAGGCTAGAGGTGTAGAAATTTATCCCCACAAATTTTTTGTGTACCATCATTCTAATAGACTAATAACTAAGTGGTGAAAAGATAGAGAACGTTCAAAAACAATCGTCTATTAATTCAAAAAATAGTCAATAATAAGCATGCTTTAAGAGTTTCCCACCAAATCCAACTCATTGACATAGTTCTTGACACGAGATACAAATTCATGGCTACATCTAAGAGTTTCCTACTGAAACTTTAAACTATATCTTGTTCTGCACCTGCATCTCTTATTTTAACATGCCCCTGTTTTTTGTCCACAAATTTGCGCAACATAAACTTCCGGTTTCACATCTTCAAGTTCCACCTTGGATTTCTTCATCTATTTTTTCTTTGCTGTGTCCTTCCATCCGCAATCTTGACCTTCATGCTAACTCCTTGGCTTGCATAATCTCATCACTCCTGATGTTTCCTCTCCATCTTGTTCCTTTGGTGTGTCCTTCCATCCACAATCTTGACCTTCCTGCTAACCTCCTTGACAACTTAAGTTCAGTTTAAAATTTGGACCCATACCCCCAAAGATAAAAGAAATTATTTGAAAAGAATCACCCAGATTTTTAGGAGCTAAAAGCGCAGGACAGTTGAGACGAAACTCAATTGTTTAACCTATGGATTACAAACCAGAAAAGAATGCAAGCTTGAAACAAAAGCATCAATGCCCATTGAGATTTCAGAAACTGAATCCACAATTACAAATGGATCTCGTCCGCATTCCCAAGGTCAAATTAATGTAACGTAGAAAATCCCCAAAAGCAAATTCGACCAAACCATAAGGGGAAGCATAAAATATGAAATACCTGCTCTTGTCGATTCTGTATCTCTCTATATTGCACGGGAGTTGCTTTGGTGCTGCAATTGAAAGGGATGAACAAATATCAGTTTTATGTGATAAGAGAAATTGCTTAGAACATAGCTGTAGTGTAAGTGAAGCTTAGAAAAGATGATTGACACCATTCGACTGTGAGACACATGGACATAGAAAGTTATTTTGTGAGCAATTCCAACTCCAAGTTCAAGCAGTATACACCACGGTGAGAGCTGTCAACTAATAATAAGAGCTAATTTCAGGCATCAACACAGAACGTGATACCTACAGTAACAAAGGAGACATCACGAACAGAAACTTCACTACAAACATGATGATTAAATAGAAATCCGAAATCTAACTTCAGTACAAACATGATACTGCAGCTATATGCCCCCTCCCCCCCAGTAAGTAATCCAAATGAAACATGCTACTTTAATTTGTGTTGGCCGTTGTTTCGCCACTTGTGCCTGATTCGGCTTCTATATTGGATTTTACTTGAGACCCTTCGACCCTTCCTTAGCATTTGCCAACTTTTCGACCTAATAACATTATAGTAGCACCAAGTTCTAATTCAATGTCTATCAAATCAACAACACCATCATCCCTAGCTACTAATATATCTTGCCTTCTTTGTCGAACATGTCAACATTTGGAACCGCTATTGCAAGACTAAAAGCAGGATTGAGACACTGTCTTGTATTATTGCTATTGTTAGACCCTGCAGTGAGGGAAAGATTATAATAATTGATTGCTCAAGGAAAGACTCAAGAGTACCATTAAAGGAGAGGAAGCATATAGTGGGTTAACAAACCCAAATCACTAATTTGGACTGGGCGCCCTTTTGAGAAGTCCCACATGATGAGCTTTGAGTCAAGACCTCCAGTGATAACTGCCACATAAATTATGTCAATTATTAAAATAGCTAGGTTGCAGTTTCCAGACTTTTCAGAAAAGTGGAGGGAAACATGATTATATATAATTCAAATATCATAAAAGCTCAGTTAAAATACCTTCTCATGGTCTCCAAGGAATAAACATCACATTGCTATAGATCTCAGATACAGTTAAGTTTGAAGGAGAAGAAGAACCTTGAAATCAACAGTAGTTAATCTAACATCTTAAAGTCAACGAATTAGTGAAGGATACACTTGAATGGCCAGCCTGCGTGTTCTTATCCCACTTTGGCATATCAGTAACCGCAAAAGCAACACTCCATCACAACTACTCCGCCCTCCAGTCCACCAAAAGCAAGTGTCACTTGGATTCAAATTAACCACAGACATTAAGGCATGGTCAAAACTCCCTTCACCTCTCTGCCTGTGACATTGTAAGAATGGGATTAGAAACCACAAATTCTCATTGACAATTTATGTGGTATATAATTTTTTTTTATCTTATACTGAGGCGAATTACATGCTCATCTGCTATTATAAACAATACGTGATACTGGCCACCACTCTCCTCAACAATCGTCATTGCCTTCTCAATGACGGGTGCAAACGACAGTGGACCTACCAAAAAAAATCCGCATAAGCTTCAAAAAATAATTTAGTGTGGTAATTCTAGCTATGGAAACGATGACTCGGGAAACATATAAACCAGATCAGCAAGTCTGAGGCTCAAAACAAATTCACAATACCTCTCATCCATATAGAAACTGAAGACATCCTGATGGTTTGTCGGAGATGTCAATGGATAGTAGTAACTCTCAACAACACAAATTGCTTTGTAATTCAATTATCAAAAACAATTCTTAGACTTGAGACCCTACCGTCTCCAAATATGTAGCACAGTATCAAGTTATCCTCATTAAAGGCAACCAAATTCTTCCCAATAATCAATTGCTTGCTTGCAGGGATTCAAAGCATCTCCCATGTGATGCAAATTTCTTCTGTTGTAAGACTTTGCACCTAGTGACCAAACCATATTAAGCAGGATGTTCAACAATGCATCATAACTTACATATCAAGTAGACAACAGAAACATATATCCGTCCATTTTTTGCTCTTCGTAAAGTCAATTTCAACAATAAGATGTCATGATTCAAGTCTAGCATGTGCAAGAACTTCAGTAACCGAGAAAGAAACATACCAGAATGATGATGAAGCCTACATTACCACAACCAGGTGCAAAGAGTGAAAGACATCCTTAAAATATCAAGTGCATGCATAGCCATAAACTCATAAAGCCAATTCTTATCCAGTAGACCACAAACAGACAACATAATCTCGCAAACACTTCACCTTGCTCTCCTGCAGCTCCTCTCTCTTGGGAAGCAAGAGCGCCTTTGCTTCAATGAAATGCAGCGAGGGGAATCACCACTCACAAAGTGGCCGTCAATCGATGAATTGAGAAAGATAGGACCAAAGAATCAATCAGTTGAAACAACAATCGTCCAATCCCAATATATATATCCTCTCGTGTATTCACATACCTGGAGCCGACCCGGGCTGAAATGGGCCGGGTGCTTGAACCGACTTTATCCCTTTCTTACCGGCCGACGACGGCTGAAACGAATCGAATTCCTTCAGCTTCATTTTACTTGACGCAGCAGCGCTCTTCCAGTCCACGACCAAGGCATTGTGGCCGGCCCAAACGGCGAGAATGGCAGCTCCCGTAACTTCAGCATCTCGTCTTTGGCGCCTCCGTGTAGCTGCACTTGAACTCCAACGAAGCTTTGTCGATGACGTAAGAGAGCCCATCTTCGCTGAGCTTGACTTTAGCTATCTGGTTGACAGGATGGGGCTGTGCGGAGACCTTCGCGACCCGACGAAAAGTAGGTTCTTGAGCGGTCTTAGGGTCTTTGTGTTTGGAGTATTTGGATCTTTGGCCAAGTATCCACAAAATTGAGGGCGAAGACGACGTCCCCACAGACCTGAAATTGCTCCTGCATTCAGTCCGGCGAGAGCACGACATTCGGGTAGTAAGGGTCGACCATGTTCACAATGGAATTGAATCGTCTGCGCGGCGGATAGCATCCTCAAATTCCTATAGCGAGCGCCGCTGCTCCTCGAACTTTCGATCATTCGCGTTGTTCAACCGAGAGAAGCAGAGCTCTGTAGGAAGGCGGTGATGGGGCCGTCTTTTCGTTCAGTAGGAAAGAGGTTCGAGGAAATCACAAACGACAAAAAGGGAAACTCAGAATGGAAGAAGTAGCTAGAGGAAAAGAGGAATTTGGAGATGGGTATGTAGAAGAAGATGAACCGCAGGCGGGACGATAGATCTTCTTCGGTTTCTTCCATTTCCCCCCCTCCTTCGAGAGACAGAGACAGAGCTTAGAGGTTTTTTGTTCTCCTCCTCTTCCTCTATTGATATTCGGCTTTAATATATCGGATTCTTGAACTTTATGTGACTATCCTATGATCTGTTTAAGCCGATTGGTGCTATTTTAAGGCTCGCTAACCCGAGAATGGTTGAAAAACCATTACTGCCTAGTGCCATGAGTTTGATATGATACAGGTGGAGAAAGCACGAAAAAGGAGCGAGTGCACAAGTAATAAATCGGGCTCGAATTACTGGTGGACTACTCACTTGGGCTTAAGGCCCAGAGGAATTGGACTTGGCTTGAGGAGGAGATTATGGGCCGGAGAATTAAAAACAAAGAAGGAAGGATCTGGACAAAGGTTTTTTGGAGCGGACGTGGAAAATTCTTGGACTGGTGAATTTTGGGCGGATTGGGCTTTTGTGAAGTGGACACGAAATTGCTGGGCGGAAACAAGAATTGCAAAAGGGGACACGGAATTGGATTGAGAAAAGAAAGAGACAAAAAAAAATCTCTTTGGAGGGCAACTTTTGGGGTTTTCAGCAAAAGGAGGCGAGGCAATTAATCTGGGAACTGGTTTTTTTTGGGCGGAATTCTTGGAACGGAAGAGAAAGAAAGCGCAAGGCAGCAGCACGCATCGAGCGATCAGTCGATTCCCATCGGCGATTGAGATTTCCAAGGCTACTTGAGCTGAATTCAACGAGAGCGATTAGTTGGTTGGATTTTCTAAACCAAATTAGTTGTTATTTGTTGTTTTAGAACATGATGAACAAAACCCTATCGATTTATCTTAATTTCGTCATGAACTAAACCCCAATTTCTGGGGGAAACACCATAGGATGTAGCTATTTCTTGATTTGATGGATTGATTCATGATTCTTTTCTTCCAATCTCTATTGCATGGAATTGCTTAATGCTTTGTGTTGACTGGCCACCAATACAATGAATTGTAGTTAATTAGGTTATTAGCGACAGTGAAACCCTAATAACTGAACATATTTCATGTGACATAGTAACTTATCGAAGCGACAGTGGATTAAATAAGGTGCTATGCGGTCTTAAATAGGATATCGGTCTTCAGACTAAATAATTAACTCATTGAGCTACGACAGTAGGATTTGAATTAATTGCTTAGTACGTAGTAATTCCCGACAGGGATAGCTAGCACAGTAGTGATATCATGGCTGTAGAGATATGGATTAAATTGATTGGAGTATGTGAATTAATCTGGATAGGATAGGTAGCGAGTCCTGGTGTTTCTCCCAGAGCTTTCTCCCATTGAATTAAACCCGACAGTTTTCACTTATCTTAATTTGTTTAGTTAATTTTGCTTTTAGTTAATAATTTCATCTCTTAAACATTTTCACATATAGTTTGCTCGAAAGAATCGATAAATCATAAGGTTGTACCAGTCCCTGAGAGACGATACCCGGACTTTCCGGATGACTACAAGATAGGAATTGGCATTACGCTTTTGCCCTATCAAGTTTTTGGCGCCGTTGCCGGGGACTGCCATACCTTATTTTTGTTGATTTTTGTGAGTGAACTATTTTGATCTGGGTGTTAGTGTGCAGAAGAATTTTTAGGTTTATCCTCCTCGTGCATGCCTAGGAGGACGACTGGCAATTTACTGCCACTAGACCCGGAGGTCGAGAAGACCAGCCGACAGAACAGGAAGCAGGTCAAGTTAGGGAAGCAGCCAACCACAACTCCTAGGCCTTCCCTAACCCAGAGAGGGCAGGCTTCATCACCTGTCGTCCCTACACCACCACCACCACCTCGTGAGGTCGAGCCTGTCATCATGGCAGAACAGGATCGTTCGATCAGGGCTCGCTTGAATCGAAGGACTGGAGCCCGAGCTTCATGTGTTGTCATTCCGGCTGGGGATGCAAACATGGAGATTACCCCAGCCTTCATCAATATGATCACTAATGGGTACACCTTCTCCGGAGCTAGCAGTGAGGATCCTCATGAGCATCTTCGCCGGTTTGCAAACATTTGTGACACTATGAAGAGCCCGGTTGTGTCTGATGATGCCATCCGTCTTTGGATGTTCTCGTTTTCTCTGCTGGGGAATGCATCACACTGGTTCCAGAACTTGACACCCCGTTCCATCACAACATGGGGTCAGCTTGAGAAGACCTTTTTGGATAAGTACTTTCCTCCTGCCAAGGCAATGAAAAGGCAAGAGGAAATTGTCACTTTTAAACAAGCTGAGGATGAAAGTCTGACCGAGGCATGGGAGCGCTATAAGGAGCTTCTAATGAGATGCCCGAGCCACGGTCTTGAAGATTGGAATGTGATCTCCATCTTCTTCAACGGAATCAGAAGACAATTTCGAGATGCTCTGAATAATGCTTCCCGAAATGGTTTCACAAGAATGGAAGCACCAGAAGCATATGAACTGGTGGAGAAGATATGCTCTGAAGATACTGAATGGGGTAGTGAGACCGGCATTCGAAGGAGAGGAGGCTTGCATGAGATAGACAGGGTTGCAAGCTTAGAAGCAAAGATTGATGCTAAGCTGGATTCCAAGTTCGATGCACTCGAACGAAGGCTGGCTAAGTTGGCTCTTGGTAGACAGGAGGAGGTTGCTTATTGCGAATTATGTGAAGGTGCTCATCATAGGGATCTATGTCCACTGGTGGCTGATCAGGTGGAAGATGTGCACTATATCAACAATCAGAGAAATCAAGGCCAGGGTGGTATGTATTCGAATACCTACAACCCACAATGGAGGAAGCATCCTAACTTTTCCTGGGCGAACAACAACCCAAATGGTGCTCGCAACATTCCACCTCCAGGCATGCAGAAACAACAACCTCCACCTCAACCAGAGAAGAAACCACAACTTGAAGAATTTCTTCTGGCTCACATGCAGAAAACCGACAATAATCTGAAGGGCCTGGATCAGTTTGTCACTCAACAGCTAGCCATCAACAATAATTTACAATCTTCTATGCTAGCTATGGAGAGGCAAATAGGCCAGATGGCTCAAACTTTGGCAGATATGCAAGGCAGGATTCCTGGGAAATTACCAGCAAATACTGAGAGGAATCCGAAGGATGCCATGGTTGTAGCATTGACATTGAGGAGTGGAAAGGCCTTGGAAGACCCTAGCAGCTCGAAAAAGGCACCAGAGGCAGAAGAGGAAGCACCGGGAGAAAGATCTTGTGCAGAAAATGAAGAATCAGCCTTGCACAGGCAAAAAGAAAGCGGTTTGCCTGTGCAAAAGCATGTTGCCCGTGTACCTCAAAAAGTGGAAAAATTGAAGAATGAAGAGGTAAAGCCTTATGAACCTCCCGCACCATTCCCTCAAAGGTTAATGAAGCCCATGGAAGACCCAAACTTCAAGAAATTTGTGAATATCTTCAAGCAACTTCAGATTAACATACCCTTGGCGGAGGCACTTGAACAGATGCCTACATATGCTAAATTCTTAAGGGAGTTGCTGACAAAGAAGCGGAAATGGGCTGATCTGGAGAAGGTAACCCTTACTTCTGAATGTAGTGCTGTGATTCAGAATAAATTACCAGAAAAGAGGGATGATCCGGGCAGCTTCACCATTCCATGTGTCATTGGAGGTACAGAATTCAATAAATCACTTTGTGATCTTGGAGCAGGAATTAATTTGATGCCATACTCAGTCTACAAGAAATTGGGATTGGGAGATGTTCTAAAGCCTACTCGGATCACTCTCCAATTGGCTGATCGATCAGTGAAAATTCCAAAAGGAGTGGTGGAGAATGTATTGGTGAAGGTGGGAAAGTTTATTCTCCCAACAGATTTTGTAATCCTGGAGATGGAAGATGATCGGGGAGTGCCTCTAATCCTCGGCAGACCTTTTCTAGCAACCGGTGATGCACTCATCGATGTTGGGAGAGGCAAGTTGACATTCCGAGTAGGTAAGGAGGAGGAAATTTTTAATGTCTTTCAAGTTGACCATAATCATGATGAATTTGAAAGTGAAGCTCGAGAAAGGAAAAATCCCTCTTCCTGTGATAGTGGACCATCCGAAGAACTATCACCTATCCTATCTGCTCAGATTCTGAAATCAAAGCAAGGGCAGAAATCCTTGCCAGGTCACCTCAAGTATAGATATTTGGGTAAGGATTTCAATATTCCTGTTATTATTCCTTCTTCACTGACATTGAAATAGGAAGAGTACCTGCTTGAGGCGCTGCAGTACCACCTACGCCTCACTAAAGGGTCTAACATGCCAGCTAAGAAGGTCATACCCAATTTTCGCACACCTGGCCCTGCAGAGGTGACTCATATGGTGGATGGAGGTTATGCGTTCTATCATTGCTCAGGAGGGTACGCTGGATACCTTTCCATACCCATTGGTTGAAAGCTCCATAAACGTCAGGCTGAGGACGTTAAACAAGCGCTTCTTGGGAGGCAACCCAAGGTAAGTTTTCTTTTCTTTATTTTTATTTTTAGTTGTGTCAAACCCGTGCATGTTTAGATTAGGAGTTGAACATTAGGGACAATGTTCCATCCTGAGTGTGGGGTGGCGAGTCTTAGTGTTTGTTTGTTCCTTTTGTCATGTGGTCAGTAAAAAAAAAATCAAAAAAAAAAAAATTTTGTTTGTTCCTTTTGTCATGTGGTCGGTAAAAAAAAACAAAAAACAAAAAAAATCCAAAAAACAAAAAAAATTGCCATTAGGTTGAGCACAACCAAACTGCATGCAGTTTGCCTGTGTAAAAAGCAGTCTACCTGTGTAAAAAGCATGCTGCCTGTGCAAAGCTAATGGCTAAAAAACACCTAAAAATCAGAAAAATGAAAAACAAAACCTTGTACTCTTGTGGTAACATGATGTAAATGACTGTGATGCCTTGAAAATGAGTTTGTGCTTGAATGAAATCATCAAAATCACCCCACTAGTGTTGAATTGCATAGTTCTTCACAATGAGCTTGAATGTTTTGACTGACTTGATATGCTTTGAATGAGCAACTCTTTTAGCAACATTCTCTTTTGTAGGATAGTGCAATGACATTTGGTGAAGTAGTTAGGTGGAGAACATTGACCATTCGACATGTTTGGATACCGTGCTTACTTGCATCAATTGTGAGCTTTTGATTTGGCAACGAGTCTCTCTGTTTTGATGGTTTTATGATGGGGTGAACTGTATCTTTATAAAATGAGAAAACACTACCTGACAAGTAAAATATAAGAAAGTTGCCATAACAATTAAAGTGTGGGTAAAAATGCCAAAATTGTGTGAGGCAATCACTCATTGCACATGGGGATGAGGAAAGATTCAATTGAGAATCGGTTCGCGACCGTACGATGTTGCTTATCAAGTACGATCCCCAGTTGAGTGAAGTGCCATTTGAGGATGCAATGACCCTCCACACGGACCGAGAAAAAGGAGTTAAAAGAAGCCCTTATGCGAGTGCTAAGAAGCAGAAATTGCTCTTGCTCGGTCACCGGTAGTAAGAAACAAATCCCACTTGTACTAAATACGACCTCTCGGCAAGCAAAAGCAGAAAGAGAGAAAGCCTCTCCTTGTCATAAAAGGTAGTGATGTGCTTAAAGTTAAAATCTTGTTTGCGAAAGGCTTCCCCCATTAGTTTTTGAGACTCATGCTTAATTAATTGCTTATGATTGGTGTGAGTAAGCCAGATTGTCCTCACGAGTTATGCACCTCACTGATGTGGTTAGATTCTCCTAATAATTGTTGCACCATAAGTTGTTAACCAACCACTACCGACGATCAAAATTGAGTGTTGCTAATTGAGTTTTTGGTGGATTTGAGTCAGTCAATGGTAATGGTTGCAAAGAACTTGAGTGTGGGGTGAAAGGTATGATCATTAAAGCACAACTTGTCCTTTGAGAAAGAAACTACTGATTACAACAAGAGTACAAGGAAATTTTGTGTTGAGTGTTTTATTAGTGAGTCTGTGGTGTGTCATTGTTATGGTTAGTTATGTGTTTGTGTCTTTTGAGTCGTTGCTTAGGGACAAGCAACAATTGAGTGTGGGGTTTTGATATTCGGCTTTAATATATCGGATTCTTGAACTTTATGTGACTATCCTATGATCTGTTTAAGCCGATTGGTGCTATTTTAAGGCTCGCTAACCCGAGAATGGTTGAAAAACCATTACTGCCTAGTGCCATGAGTTTGATATGATACAGGTGGAGAAAGCACGAAAAAGGAGCGAGTGCACAAGTAATAAATCGGGCTCGAATTACTGGTGGACTACTCACTTGGGCTTAAGGCCCAGAGGAATTGGACTTGGCTTGAGGAGGAGATTATGGGCCGGAGAATTAAAAACAAAGAAGGAAGGATCTGGACAAAGGTTTTTTGGAGCGGACGTGGAAAATTCTTGGACTGGTGAATTTTGGGCGGATTGGGCTTTTGTGAAGTGGACACGAAATTGCTGGGCGGAAACAAGAATTGCAAAAGGGGACACGGAATTGGATTGAGAAAAGAAAGAGACAAAAAAAAATCTCTTTGGAGGGCAACTTTTGGGGTTTTCAGCAAAAGGAGGCGAGGCAATTAATCTGGGAACTGGTTTTTTTTGGGCGGAATTCTTGGAACGGAAGAGAAAGAAAGCGCAAGGCAGCAGCACGCATCGAGCGATCAGTCGATTCCCATCGGCGATTGAGATTTCCAAGGCTACTTGAGCTGAATTCAACGAGAGCGATTAGTTGGTTGGATTTTCTAAACCAAATTAGTTGTTATTTGTTGTTTTAGAACATGATGAACAAAACCCTATCGATTTATCTTAATTTCATCATGAACTAAACCCCAATTTCTGGGGGAAACACCATAGGATGTAGCTATTTCTTGATTTGATGGATTGATTCATGATTCTTTTCTTCCAATCTCTATTGCATGGAATTGCTTAATGCTTTGTGTTGACTGGCCACCAATACAATGAATTGTAGTTAATTAGGTTATTAGCGACAGTGAAACCCTAATAACTGAACATATTTCATGTGACATAGTAACTTATCGAAGCGACAGTGGATTAAATAAGGTGCTATGCGGTCTTAAATAGGATATCGGTCTTCAGACTAAATAATTAACTCATTGAGCTACGACAGTAGGATTTGAATTAATTGCTTAGTACGTAGTAATTCCCGACAGGGATAGCTAGCACAGTAGTGATATCATGGCTGTAGAGATATGGATTAAATTGATTGGAGTATGTGAATTAATCTGGATAGGATAGGTAGCGAGTCCTGGTGTTTCTCCCAGAGCTTTCTCCCATTGAATTAAACCCGACAGTTTTCACTTATCTTAATTTGTTTAGTTAATTTTGCTTTTAGTTAATAATTTCATCTCTTAAACATTTTCACATATAGTTTGCTCGAAAGAATTGATAAATCATAAGGTTGTACCAGTCCCTGAGAGACGATACCCGGACTTTCCGGATTACTACAAGATAGGAATTGGCATTACGCTTTTGCCCTATCATCTATCCTTCCTCTTCTTTGGCAATCTAGAAAAAGCATGGGCGGTGAAGTGTTTGAGTGGGTCTGCAGAGGTCGCTATCTCGAGAAGTAAACTGGAGTGGTGAGGGATGAGATATGATTGAAGGGGTGGCGTGCTGATATGAATTTTGGGCTGAGATTGTGAGATGATAGCAGGGTGAATCGCCGATGGATGAAAAGAGAAGGGACATGAGTAGCTCCTTTAGGATTGGGTCGGGCAACGCGATGCTGCGAGCAACTCAGTGGATTTTGACACTAAACGACAAAAAGATTGGGTCGGGCAACGCTATGCTGCGAGCAACTCGGTGGGTTTTGACACTAAACGCCAAAAAGCGATACAGTAACAAACATCTTGGGCCAATAAAGTGTACCCAGCTATTATATATAAAAGAATCATTTAGTTCGTCATCCACATTCAAGCTTTCACACCACACTTCGTTCAACTAACTTCTCCCGCAAAAAGGGGGCAAAAAAAAAACTTCCCTCCCACTCTTCTCCTTCCATTTAAATACCCCAAGCTTTCGATTTCGTTCCTCACCATCCCAACTGTCTCTATCTCAATTGGGTTTCCTTTATTCCACAGCAGACAGAAGAACAAAAAAAATGGCGGCGTTGACTTTCTTATCATTGGAGCTGATAACCGAGGCAGCTTCAAATCCAACGCTGGCTTTCTTCTTCTGCAATCTGATCATCGTCACCATCCTCTTCGCATCGAAGCCTCCTCCTGCCGCCGGCGGAGGAATTTGCTACGTGTCGTCGGTGGTGGGAGCTCCCTGCGTCGCCATTTATCAGCAGGAGGAGGAGAAGGTTGCCGCTGGCCATGCTCTGCCGCCGAACGATGATAACAGAGCATCCCCGTCCTCCGAAACTAAGGTCGAAATGGCAATCAGTACCCACCAAGAAGAAGAAGATGATGACCATTGCGGTGGAAATGGGGAATGCAATGGTGATTATGATGAATTTGAGGAGGAGGAGGAAGAGGAAGAAGACGATGATGAATTGAGAAGGAAAGTTGAAGAGTTCATTGAGAAGACAAACAAGGAATGGAGGGCCGAATTGCTCCGAACATCACGGCGGCTGTGAAAAAAGATACAATTTTGGTCTTCAAGCTCGTTGATTGCGTCGATAAATTCAGCCGACTGGAGTCTATAACAGATTCTCTTACGGCTACTGGCTAAACCTCTGTTTTCTTTCCCCCCAACCTTGTGAAATGTCAAATTTTGAATGATTACTGGCTGTAGATCTTCAATAATTATGTGATAATCAACTTTCTTAGTCTTAATGTAACTTAATTACCCTAATGAAAAGTATACATCTTTACGATATAACGAGGATCTTCATAGTTCTCTTCTTAGTCTTTCTAAAACGCTGTCTTTACATGCCCGAGGAACACCTGGAACTAAACTCATTAGAAAATGAAAATGTTAAACCTGTGGATGAGGTGCAGCTAATTAGGGCCAGCTTTTGGAGGGGGGACATTAATTAATGCCGGGGAAAAGAGGTTCTTTGGAGGATTAGCACGCGTGATTAAGAGGGAGACACGAAGAAGATTCTTCAATCACATGGATTACCCATAACTAAAGCGTAATTAGGGGGGGGGACTAACCACATCACTGACTACAGTACAGTGTGACTGCTCTCTTTTTAGAACCTTTTTAGCCATTAAATCATTTATAAGTAACAACCCATTATATTAAAAAAACAACTCTAATGGAATGGTTAAGTTACACCAAGAACTTAATCAGACCAGCAGAATTCACACACCAGAAGATAGGAAAAGAACAACAACACTACAAAATAGCAGCAATGCAGCCCACATTAGACCAAACTTGTTATATCCTAAACACTACTACCATGAGTCCTACTATCCCTAAGAACCCTAGAGAGAACACAACAAAAGAGTACACTTCTCACAGGTTGAAAATTCTCGTATAATTGGCGCGGTTGCTGTAAGAGCCTTCCTTCGGTTACTGCTGCTCTCGTCGTCTTGCCATGGTGAGACTAGTCCAGACACAACACAACCCACATGGAGTAAAGTGTCAAAAGGTGTAGTAACATCATCAGCAAGACACCTCACAGTGTGTCTGTGACGACGGCTCGTGTTCATGACCTCTAGAGTCGTCGTCTTCATCTTCCTCGTCTTCAGCAGTAGAGGAGCTCCTGTTGTCAGTGGATGGCGGGTTCCTACTAAACATGTGGACGGAGGGGTAATTAAACGATTGCTGATTGACGTTGTCTACATGGTGGAATGACGATGAAGAAGGGATTATGGCTGGCTTCACTGCAGCATACACCCCCTTTAGATCAGCAGCTGTCAGGACAGTGACCGGAGGATGCGTGGTCACAATCGGTGGTGGTGTCGGAAGTGGTCGTTCAGTTCTCTGCTTCTTGTGCTTCTGCTCCATCTGGTGACCAGGTATAAAACTGCCGACAACTACCTGATGATGCACATTTGAAACAAGCAGTTAGGGACCGATCAAGAATCCCAAAGAGCCAGCCCTTTGAGAGGGACTGAAGGAGAATTGATCATATACCTGCACAGGACCAGCAGCTACCAAGAGACCAGCGAGTCCTCCACCAACAACTCGACCGTCAGCACCAGCTAACGAAACGCTCATTCCACCTGACCGGCTCTTTTGTCCTCCGGTATCTGTAGTAGGCATGAATGACCCGGACAATGAGAGTATCTCGAAACGGCCCTGAAAATACACAGCAATGATGGTGACAAGGGTTCTGATACAATCACAGCACATAACTGGATAGTGGTAACGAAGCAGCAAGGTAAAAGTATATTAAAGAGGCTCCACCTCATAAGTTAGTGTGCCACCAGAAGAAGTAGGCTGGCGAAGAGTGACATTTGAGATTGTGCCATTTGCCGAAAGAATGCATATGGCTCGAGCACCTTGTTGAGAAAAGGACATGACCTTCATTGTAACATCCTGGTAGCAGAAACAGACCAAAACCGTACTTAGAAACCATTTCTCAGAGTGTTCAAGATTCACTTGGTACTTAATTTCACAGGCATACCTCGCCAGCATTGACATTAAGCACATGAGGAGTAAAATTTGCGCCGACAGAGTAAGCAACTCCGTCTCCTGCAAATGGTATTGCAGCATTAGATCATGGTTTCACAGTTACAAATCACATCCAAGAACAGTTTACTAAGGCAAACAAGCGGGGCAGAATGTGCAGTAAACATAACAGTTTTGAACTTGAGAAAAAAACCAACAAAAAAAGGATTTGGTTAGAGGCAAGCTTCCTAATTTTAGTAAGAATCTTCCAAACTGATTGGAATGAGACAAAAACTGTACTTCGTTGACTGGATCCCATGGCATGACATGATTCGTGGAATCCTATGATTCTCCTGCTACCGACACTTGGTCAGCAAAACTATGGGTTGCTTGCTGGCTGGCTGGCAGTTAACTATCACCCAACTGGATTTACAAAGAAATGAAAACATCCCATCATCTAAAGACCATTTGCTGCCACTGAACAGAATCCTGAGCTCATTACTATTCCTTTTACCCAATTTAAAAATTCAAAAGTAGCTTAAGACAGATCTGGGAACAGTTCTAGCCACCAGACTATGTTCCTAAACCCAGATTAACAGTTTTAGACTAACTTCTCTCAGACTAACTAACTAACAGAAAAATTCAAAGTAGAAGAAAAGAAAGTTCCAATCCACTTTACTTTTACAGTATCCATCATCAGTCACCACCAGTTAGCTTCTCCTCCATTTCATTTCCTCCACCATTAATGTCAGAAAATAAATTGGTCCCACTCAGGCCAAAGATCCATTTGTGAGACCCCATCTCAGATATTTACCCTATTGCAACGACAACCCAACCCAATTGGTAAAAACAACCGATTAGAATCTCATGATCTCCGATGGAACAGTAAAAAGTTCAAAACTTTAGAAAAACCCTTGAGAGCTAGCTAGCTAGCGAAGTAGAATCACAAACATTTCCTTCTTCTTTTGGCCTTTTCTTTACCTGGGCTCTCGTATTCGGTTCTGTGCTGCTGCTGCTGCTTCTTGACCGAGCCAATCCCCCGGCCTCTGCCCCTTTTCCAAGACGACGACGACGAGAGACCTCCGGTGAGCGGAATGGACGCCGATATCGGCATAGGCGACAATGTCGGGTTCAAGCTTCCGTCGGGCCCGTACTTCCTCGGCCTTCCCCTTTTCTTCTTCGCCAACGTGCCGCCGCTCCCCGGTGAAGAACTCACCAGTGGTGGTGGGCTGCCGAAATGGGTCGAGTTATTTGGAACTGGGTTCGAGTTAATCGGAGCTGAATTCGGGTTAGGGTTCGGAATTTCAGCTCTAGGAGCAAGCCTGTAGCTCTCTGGAGCATCATCCCCCCTAACCGTTACACCTGAAGTAGAAATCATTCCTTGTGTTGCTGCCTCCATTTGTACATAGACCGCTGAGCCAACACTAAAACCCACCCACCAAAAAAATACCTTGAACCAAAAGATCGAAACTTTTTGCTGAAGCTGAAGAACCGTACAGGGGAAATGGCTACTTCAGCTCCAGAAAACGGAGTAACAGAGGGAGAAAAAGGAAACCCAGAAGGCTAAAGGCTTGAAAGTTGTGAAGACGATGAAGAAGAAGATGCAAAAACAGTACAAAAAGGAAAGACTTTACAACAGTAACTGCCTTCTGAGAACTCAAAGCTTCGCCATTGCAGAAGGAAGGAATGAACAGAGCTTGCTCCAGAGTGTTGTCTGCTGCTTTACCCCTTCCCCTGCAGGTGAAAACTAATCACAAAAATTACAGAGAAAATTGTAGAAAATTTACTAGTGTTCTTCTGGAATTTCTGCTAGGGAAATGGAATTTAGGGTTTTCCAGGGAAAAGCAAAGAGAAATAAATAAGTAGGGATGAAAAAATTAGGGAGAGAATTAAAAGAAATTAAAATTGGGGGAAATATTAAAAGGTAAAGGACTACTCAAACGGCTGATTTAATATTGGAATGGGGTGAGGTGAATTTTAAATTATAATCAATAAATCAGATATTTTTTTAATTGGCAAATTGAAAGTATAGATTTTGGTTAAGAAAATGGTTTCAAGTCCGTCTTGGAAATTTAATAAGGTCCTTGATTTATTAATAAATGGAGGCAGGCAAACCGAAATTAAAAAGAAATTGATTTATTACTAGAATTAGTAAAATATTTATTAGGGAAAGAAAAAAGCTATTCCCCATTTTTAAAAATTTCCCATTTAAATTATTATAAAAGAAAAGCTGCAAAGCAAGCCATGCCAATTTTCCAACCACTGACATCTTCTTTGTCTTTTCAGGTAAAACTTGATTGACTATACAAAATTTAAATAACTTAATTACCCCTGTAATTCTCTAAAATCTACTCTTAATGCCACTCTCCTACATCCTTAATTACATTAGGGTTTCTGAATTATGATGTTATCATTTTATGACGAAAATTATGGGAAAATGAATTTCTCAACTAATTTGGTTATATAATGGTACAACACCTATTAACTAGTTTACTTCAATTGTCCAGCAAAGGGTTCCTCAAAGTGGTTGGAAAGTGATCAGGAATACTCAAAGAAATGCAAAGTTTGGAAGGAAAGAACACATATGGGTAATGGGAAAGTAAAAGTGTGTTGTTTGTCTAACTGAGCATTTATTGTTATGACAAAATGAAAGGAACAGCAACTGCCAACACTTCCTCAACAGCACAATCTTTTGCTGCCCATGAAGTTTCCTATGTTCCAGGAAAACGCCATAAAATATCAGACCAATCGAGCTACTGTGCTGATGCCATAGGATGGCCCTCCCTTTGTGTTCCCAGCCATTGGATTCGACATGGTGGCATAAGCCAAACTCTGGTGATACTAATAAGCTCATAACAAGGAAAATAAGTGAGCATCATGCTCGATCCAACAGCTAAGAACGCGCAGGAGGGCGTTCTACAGTGTCAGCGCGCTTTAAGCGCTCTCTGCATGGGCAGAGTAGCCAAAATCAAGCAAAACTAATCAGCTGAAGATCAGTGACCAGTTGGTCAAAGAGGATCAGTAAACAAAGGGAAGAAATAGCATTGCAGCAGGAAATGGAACAGCAGGTACCTGGTTAAGAATGGCAGGCAGAAAGTTATAGACCAAATTGGTACTTTCATCATATAATATAAAATTTTGAGAATTTTTTATTTGGGTCTTTCTAAGGAGTAAAGGACAAGCAAAGTATAGCCCCCTAACATGCTGAGCAGCTTGGGCATGAGATTTCTCATCCACTCTTCATCCTGCCAAAAGTTTTAAGAAAATAGCAGACAGAGATCCCAAATTAATAGACTATTGAAAGATAAAGCAACGATGGTGAATCTCTTGGGAGTGAAGAACAAGCATGTTCTCATTTATTGTGAATCCATCGTGTATACAAAGTGCAGAGGCCCTTGTAAGGAGGCATACTAGCCACAACAATGCTCTATCTGGTACAGCAGCTGAATTCTAATAAAGACTTACCTTCTTCTATGGTGAACAAACAAAACAACAAATGAGGCAACAAAGGAAAACAGAGGTGAAGGGAGTAAGGACTAGGCTACAAAACCTCATTCTACAATATAAGTTAAGTCCCGCTGGTTGACCGGCCTCTTTCCCTTTCAACTGGCATCTCCTCCTCAAGATGAGGAGCTCTTTTTGCCTTCATGTTCTCTCCTTATGATCTCGAGCACGAGTTCATTCCACGTATCGATTGGACCAGGCATGCACCAGTGCAAGCAATCCTGCGGGGGAGGCTTTCCATCCGGGCCAAATTGAGTCCTCTTGTTTGGATCAAGACTCCGGTATGGCCCCGGATGCCCATCATGCCGATAACTGAACACTCCAGTAATGTCCATCATTACAAACTTTGATTTATTCGTCTTCTTCACGATCCCACGACGAAACCCTGTCATTTGCTTCTCGTGCATTATGTCGGTGTAGTCATTCTTCATCAGCTGTTTAGGCTCCAGAGGCCTCGTCTTCCCAGTGCAGGAGCCACCAGTGTTCCAGGCCCCACCTTCGTAGTGGTCGGGTGAATATGACCGCAGGATGGTCAACCCAGTGAAATTTGGGTGTGTGAGCATCGACGCCACAATGGTCTCTACTGATACCCCGAAAGCTTCGATGTTGTTGATTTTAGCTTCCCGAGACTTGTCAGGCCACCACAGCTGTCCTCCCACGATTTGGTTATTCAACACGTAGACCGATTGCTTGGCGAACCAGTGACCCGAGGAGAGAACGACTACATCGAAGGTTGGGACGAATTCCATGAAATTCTCATCTGGAGAGTCGAGGTGGACCTTTGTGATGCCCTCCGGAGCGAAGTCTATGGCTTCTGGAGTTTGATGGACGAGCCACGAGGACCACATTCGGACGATCATGGTAGATGTTGATCTGAAGTAGTATCGGTGCATTCTTTTGTTCCCTCTGTTTTTTGGAACTTCCACCTGTTCAGGTAAAAACAATGTCAGATTCCAGTCACCGTGAATAATGCCGATGCTGGACAAAGAGTTTACTTGCCTGCCAGAGAAGACAGAGCAATGACTCCATTTGGTTTCGAGCCACTGAATCGCCAATGAAAGCTAGGGTTTTTCCTCTCATCAGTTCGAGGAACTTTTTGGCATCGAAACGAGGGAGGTCACATTGCGATGGTTTCCACCGATAACTCTCGTACTCTCTATCGGGTCTTCCATTTCCTTGGCAGTTCTGCATCTGTGTAATGACCGGGCAGCTATTGTTCGTGTATAAGGGCCCACGTGGGTCATAAAACCAAGTTCCCTTGAAGAGATCACATCCTGCACGTTAAGAGATCATGAAGAAATTATGAGCGAAATGAAAATGAAGGTCCCAGACCAGCACGAATTAGGCAAAAGGGAATAGTGCTCGTGTTTTCTTTTTTGGTTTCATTTATCAGAATCGGTGCTCTAGAGCCTCAAACAGACCTTTACAAAATGGATAACAGTAAACTAATGTACCAAATATGAACACGGACTGAATAGAAGACATTAATGTAAATGATGGAAAAGCAAAGCTTTCCTTTGAAGCTCAACCAATAGAAGAAAATAGTAATGTTTCAAATCCAGTCTAGATAACAATACTAACATCTAAATAACAGATTCGTCCATTAATGCAGACATAATCACTACAAGAAATGACACCTTTAAGAAAAGTTATTCAGTTGAGGACAGTATGAGGCTTTATAGAGATAGCTCTATGCATCTCCAAAGACAAGTATCATCTAGAATTTATTCACACCATTTAATGTCAGAGAAGCCACATTTTTTGAATGAACTAAATGGAAGTAAGCAAATTCAGTTTAATAATCCAATTCATATCTCGTTCATTCAAGCATCATCTGCCAGTACATACATCATGGAGTTTAAGATAATTTCAGATAATACAACTTCAAAAGGTGTACCTGAATCATCTGAACCATTTCCTGTTGTAACCTCTTTGCTAGCTGCAGCAGATATTTCTTCCCCGCTCTTCAATTTGGGATCTGCAGCAGATGGGACAGAGCTAGCCTCTGCAACTTTTGCACCCTTGGATACTTCTTCATCAACAATAGCAGGGTTCTTGATTCCTAAATCCTTCGTGTCAGCCAGACGATCTTTCTTCTCGGGCTCCACTTTCGCTTCTTTATTAGTAGCTGCTTCTACACTAGCAGGATTCTTAATACCCAAATCCTTTGTGTCATCCAGACGATCTTTCTTCTCGGGCTCCACTTTCGCTTCTTTATTAGTAGATGCATCTACACTAGCAGGATTCTTAATACCCAAATCCTTCGTGTCAGCCAGACGATCTTTCTTCGCGGGCTCCTCTTTTGCTTCCTCATTACCAGCCGGAACTTGGACATGAACATCTTCCTTCACGGACTCCTCTTTTCGCTCTTTATTACTATCAGGAACATCCACATTTGACTCCGAACCAGATGGCGAAGAATACCTCACACTCTCGCTTACACTACCATTAACACCGCTCAAACTCGTGGGTTTTACTTCAAAATCAGACCCAGATGGCGGGCTCTTACGATCACCAACATCTACATTACTATAACTATCTTTTTGATTCTGTGGAATAACTGGAGGAAGAATCACTTTCGGTGTATCAACCTTGTAAAAGTATCCCTGAACTGTAGAAGATAACGGATTCGAGACCAAGAGCAACGAAGCTAAGAACAAAAACACAGCAAGCCCTGCCACTGATGCAGTGATGTAAGCAAGAGATCTTGGGAATGCAGCAGAAGCTGCCATGGTAGCAGAGCCTTTGGACCAACCAGAAGTCATTGTTGCATTTCCGAATCCAGAAGAAAACTTGCCCAAATAGGGGAAAACATCCCCCAATTCAGTTGCTTCTGAAAGGGACCAAGCAACAAACCCGAAAACCGCCCGATCCCCTTTTATTGAATTGGATCCAAGCTTGGAACTTTTTTCTCAATTAATGAACAAAAGAGATCACAAATTGTTTCCCTCTCTCGCCTCTTTCCCTGAAAAGGAAAGAAGAACCCATGCATTTAATGAAATGATAATCTAGATGAGAGCAAATCCAATGTCTAAGAACATGCATTTCATAAAAGTATCCATCAGAAAATCCAATTCCAAACCCAAAAGTGGGGAACCGGCAAATTCGTCAAATCCCAAACAGTAACATGAGAATCCCCATTTTCTGGGTCTGAAATCCCTAGGCTACTCCGGTTTAGGGAGAAAGGAAAAGCAGCGATGTACCCTCAAATTCATGAATTGGGGGGTCACAAATTTTCACCTGGGAATCCGAGAGACTGTGGATGTGGATTTGTGTACTCGGTTGCTTCCGTGCGTCGGCCGGCGAGCTTCGAAGACGGGAACTGAGAGATGCCTTCTTGGATCGGGGAGAGACGATAAATGGTGGCGACCTTTGCCGAGTTTCCCGATCTTGTGTTCCCTTTTTTTTAAACTAAAGAGCCGGACAGTTTTATTTAAGAAGTGGGTAATTAAGATCTATCTTCTCTTTCATAGGAGAGTGAGAAAGAGAGCGACGCCATGGGAGGGGAAGGAGCGAGGCCAATTGAGCGAGATGGCGCAGTTCAGTGGGAAACTCAAACTAGACAACTAGTGAGTCTTTGTCGTCGTCTTTTTCTGCTGCGAGCTCCTTTTCAAGCTGGCTTGAATGTGATTCGATTCGAATGACTCATCCACCTCCCGCATCATTGGCATCAAGATGTCTTGTTGAGACAAATAAATCTCCTTAACATGTGGATCGGGAGACATTTGTGTAGGTTGGATTTACCATCTCAAATAGTAGAGATATTATTTGATTACTCATGGAGTTTTAGGGGGTGTAAGCATAACATTTTGGGAAATTTTGAAAAATTTATCGGATCTCGAGTCGTAATTTAGAGTTTGCTGAGGGAAACAAAATTGTGGTAGTTTCGAAATTTTGAACTACTGACATTATAATTATGTCAAAGAAGATGTTATTCACTATACTAATACTACAGCCTCATTTTTATTAACTTCAAAACATTAAATGTATTCAGAGGCATGAGTCCTTTTAGGCTTCTACTGTGATCAAAGTATCGGTGATCCGGGATACAAGTTAAACTTGTACCATAACATTAAAGATACTACTTCAGTTTGTATCATAAATGAATTTTGTACGATTATGTTATGGTGCAAGTTCAATTTGTATTAAAACATAAATATACAAGTTCACTTTTTACCATAAACAAATTTGTACACAAATGTATAGGTATAAACTGAATTTGTGTCATAGGGTTAGAGATAGAAGTTCAGCTTGTAACATAAAGAAATTTGTACAAGAAAATATAGATACGAACTGAATTTGTATCGTAACGTTAAAGGTACAAGTTCATTTGGTAAAATAAAAGTTTTTAATGAAAACACCAATGCTAGAAAACAATATAAAATTCCTCTTTATTATACATTAAATACAATCAACATAATTGCGCAATTTTATTTAAAGAAAAAAAAACTTCTCAAAAATGAAGGAGTTGGGTTGAAGCCACGACAGGCTATAACACCACAAAAAAAATGAAATATAGATAAAATTGCATGTAAATTTCATAACAAATATAAAAAATAATGTAATCGATAAAGACCTTAGCTTCCCACCAATTATCACAATTCATATCAGTCATCCTCATTCATATTGATGGCTCCGCCATTGTTTCTCGGCTCTGGCTAACTCACTCTTCTTTAGTTTTGTGAGACCCTCCTCTAATAAGGTCATTCAGTCTCTCTAGAATTATTACCATTGAATTGATGAATTAGTTCATTCAACGATCAAGATAAAATTGAATATACTATACTCAGTGGTCTATTTGATCATGAAATTTGTATTGATTTATCGGTCACGACTGCAACTACTGAAAGAACCTTTTAGTTTTAGACTGCATCAAGAACAAGTTTGGGAGTTCGAATGGCGATTAGTTTGTGAATCATTGTTTAGCACGATAATTGAAAGAGGTTTTGGAGTACAGTAGACACCAAGTGAATTCATAATATTTCAGAACATGAAAGCATGGTGTGGAAGTTTATTATATCCTTTTGTTGTTATGACTTGAAGATAAATTGTATGTAGTATGCATTCTCAATCTCTGTAATATGTATCTTCTCAAGTATAGTGAAACTGTTCTCTGTTGTTTGTGGACATAGTTAACACACATCGTGTTAGTGAATCATGTAAATCTGTTTGTTTTTTATTTTTTTATTTTGTCGCATTGTCGATTTCTCAATTAGTTATAACACTTTTATTAGTTAAATATTTCCTTATTTAATTTATATATTGATTTAAATTATTAATTTAATTTTGCAGAAGATACCCTAAGAGTTTAACTAATGTGCATTTGCAGTCTTTTTTTTATTGTTTGGTTTGTAGTCGAAATATTATGTTAAATATTGTATGACACTTCTACCAAAAAAAAAATATTGTATGACACGATTAAGACCACAATAAGTAAAAAGTAGGAGGTAGTGACAATATTTTTCACCAGAACCTTGATATTACTTGCGCACTAATCGGTTAGACATTAGTCAATTTCACATGTGTAGGCAGATAAGAAGTCGTAATGCATATCATCAATTTCATGGCGCTCTGAAAGAGCACGAAGTTTCAACCATTTATCTCGGCGGATACGATTTAAAACTGGACCTTGTGCTTTTCGGGTTTGAAAGTTGAAATCCATGGGCCGGGCCGATGGGGTATGACATTATTTCAACAATCTATTGGCCCATGCAAATGGGTATAGCAAACCCGTTATTGATTGTAAATTGCAGTAGCAATAAGGATGAAAATGGCTTTGGTGGCGTTGGTTTTCATATATATCAACCATTAGTTTAAAATCGTAAGCTATTTTCTTAGTTAAAATTGTGCGAGGATGTAATATGTCATACAAAAACCAATTAGTATGGGGTTCGAAGAAAACCCTCCCGCGTCTAGAACATATTTATAACATTTTTCGGATGGATTTGGTGCGGATACTTAAAATATTAAAGTCACGCCAAATCCATTACCCTCTTTGTCGGGTTTGATGAAATTGAAAACCCTCAAAGATAATCCAGTTGGATTTTCTCCGACAAAATCGATTTGGATTGCGGTTGGGTAACCATGATGATGAGTTATTTTGTCATCCCTAGTTGTAGTGTACTGCAATGACGAATCAAAATTGGTCCAATATGTTGGATTGAGCAAATCGCTCTGCTCACCCGCTTTTTAGCGGGCTGATTGGCTTTATTTATGATTTTTTTGTCATCACTCTGTAATAAGAGGTTAGGGTAGTTTGCTTGTTATATTGGGGGGTGATGAGTTTGGGTATCAAATCCAATTCATCGTGATTTTGGAAAAACTCATGTTTGTTGAAGAATTTTGGAGGAACCAATCCATCAAGTTCAAGAATTTTCAAAAACCTAATCATAAGATGGGATTTGAGAAAGTGACATTAATTCATGTGCATGATGACGTGGGGGCACAAATTCGAGAAAAGATAAGGGCCAAGACTCCTACAAACAAAGACCCAATAGGTCCATTCAAAGGAAGAGCCAAATAGAAGAACCTCCAAGAGAGGGAAGAGGGGGCACAAAGACGTGGTTGGAAGAGGAAGCATAAGCTAAAGGTTTGATGTCGTCATGATGCTCACAACAATGTCAAGGAAATTAATTAGAGAATAATGGACAAAACCCAAACATGTAAAAAAGCTCACGAGAAGAAGCCAAATTCAAGGAGCAAACCCGAGAAACTAACATCACAAAATCTATCATGTCAAGCATTAATCTGGTGAAAAATGTTATGGACAGTGAAAAAGATTTAGGTGTCTAATCGTGACATTAATGACACGTCAGGTGTCTTATTCATGCATCTACCCACAACCTGTCTAAATATGAGTTATCTCCTTAGATATGTTCATGTCATATATATTGACTACTAATCTCTAAGTTTTCATATGCTTATTTATTTTCCCTTCGCCCAAACCCCTCTGGTGATATGTGAAGTGCTTAGCGACTACTCAGATATTTTGGATCCAATCAAACCTTCCGTTGGAAGGATTAAAACAACTTCCTTTGTTTCACCTAAATCAAGATTCTATTATGTTAATTAGTGAGTAAATTATTGATTGTATAGTTAACAGTTAACACATATGCTTTATGCTTGTACCTTATCGAATTATTCATGAGCCTCACAAATCGAATAAGACCTAGAGCAAGTTTAGACTCTTACGAAACGAGTTTGGTCGCAATCTGGTTCATTATGAAACATGCTAAATGATAAATGAGCTCTTTTTGATTGGTGTGTCACGATGTTAACAAGCAACTCGATTCATTTGCAGGCATGTCAAGTGCATGACAGAGAGGAGAAGCCATATTTATGAGTCGTTAGCTATTATGCGAACTACTCACAATTCACAACCAAAGTCGTCAATTTGAATGCCTATTTCTTTTGGAAATTGGAAGGCCCGGTCTAACAAGTAACAAGCAGTCCTATCGTCGTTTGTACCAAAACCCCGTTCCATCCCATCGGCGAATTCCAACCCAAATCCAATTATCGCCCGCCTCGATTCTGCCGGCGATGGCCAGCTCCACTCTATCCGCTCTGCCGATTTCATCATCGGCAGCAGCCACCTCGTCGCCCGAGAGCCTCCGCCTCGCTCCGTCGTCGCTTTCGCCCAGCTCCTTCCACGGAAACAAGCTACTGATTCGGCGCTTCAGTTCGAGTAGCGTTGTTCTCAAATGGCGTGGCCCGACGGTTGCCAGAATTTCGTCTAGTCTCCCCACGACGTAAGCTTTTTGGGTCTCTGATTTCTCGGTTTCGTTGAATGGTCTGGCTACTTGTAATGCGAAGGGAATCTTTTGTTTAACTTTGTTTTTGGTGCTTGTTTCATCGCAGGAAATATGATCCAGCTAAAGTTCCTAAGTGCGTGGTATTTTGGATTGAAAGCAACGTTTCTGATTTCATCTTCACTGTGAAGCATAATATGGGTGGTGTTTGATTTCGAGAGGTTTGTTTCTGTGTGAGTGGTTCAGATGGTCAGCTAGAGCTATTAGGTCGTTTGGATTTGGGGAATTGGAAGCTAGGAAGCTCAAGTATCCGAATACAGGAACTGAAGCCATCCTCATGGGCATTTTGATTGAAGGTCAGTGAGGTTATTGGAGATTAAAGTTGAGGGCTTTATTTTGTAATGTTAAAGTGTACTGGGTCTTGAACTTGATTAACATTTGGTCAGTAACCATGGAGTTGTAGAGGCCTAGTAGTCTGGTTGTGGAATTATGAGTTGCTTGATGCAATGCGATTGAGATGCTGCTTTATTCTTGGTATAGTTGTTAGGGAGATGCTGCTATTTGAAAGAATGGAAGGGGCTGAATCCTGGTTATAGAATTCAGCAGTTGTTTACTGTTTACATCTGTTTTGATTTACTTTGAAAATTTCACTTCTTGCTTAATAATTGCTAAACCTTTCACTGTGGTTTAAATTTCAGGAACCAGTTCAGCTGCAAAGTTCCTAAGGGCTAATGGAATCACTTTTTTCAAGGTCAGGCAAGAAATTGTAGACTTGCTTGGGAAATCAGACTTGTTTTTCTTTAGTCCTGAGCATCCCCCGTTAACTGAGCAGGCCCAAAGGGCCCTTGATAAGGCCATCGAAGAGAAACTTAAATCAGGTATTGTGTTACATTCTTTGCCTTTGAATGTCCTGTGTTGGTATAACTTTTGGTGCTTCGGGTATGTCCATGCTTCTTCTTTGGCGAGCATAGACAGACTAATGTTGCAAGATGGGAATGAACGAATGATAGCTTTGTAAAATAAAGGATGTGCCGCTAAAAAGGTCTAATTTTGCTTCATTGGGGAACTTGAGTTGGCTTGTCTAGGTGATGTTTTTTGTTGTTGGTTTACGTTGCACGTTCTATCTACTGTTTGTTAGAAGCATTGAAACAGAAGTGTCAGCGTTGAGATTATACGCCGTTAAGATGATTCCTGGAACATCTTCTTAGTTTTCATTGGAGGGATTGCTGTGGTCTTTTCCCTTGAATTTCTGCGTTGCCTTTGTATGCCAAAATTAGTGCTTCTTAATCTTGGTTTGCCGTTTATGCTCTGGATCTTTATGTGTGTAGTATGCAAAGAATTGGGGTAAACCTTCGGCAGGTAGACCAATGGAGTTCAGAAACATGTAAATGTTTAAGAGTACTGTGTAATTCTCCATGCTGTTAAGTGTTAAACGATAGAAATCTCTATTAATACACTTGTGAATACCTAGGGACAACAGCCCCTCTGTTCCCTTTTATATGATGAACATTGAAAGAGATCATTTGCCACTTTCTTCACAAAGAAATAGTTTTTGTTTCTTTTTCTTGTGGGGTTTTTATTTCGTATCTGGGTTTTGTATGACTCGCAGGGGACGATGGCGAAATAACCCCATCACATATACTCCTAGGCCTTTGGTCGGAGACCGATTCTGCAGGTCAAAGGATCCTGGAGACACTTGGTTTTACGGATGAAAAGGCGAAAGAGCTTGTCAACTACGTAAGTTTTATTGCTTTTACTTCTCTGGCATGGACTTGATATGGGTTTAGACCGTGAACATAACATATGTACAACATCTGCAGATAGATGAAGGTGCCGCCTTGAGCTCTAGGTAGGGAACTCAGACCTGTTTCTGATATCCGGGCTTACTGCTGGATCCGAGAATGTTGTGAGAATGTTGTGCCAGACCAAGTACCTGGTACAGCAAGTGCGTTCTCTTTGGGAAAAATCACCGGCTTATCAGAATAGTGACATACTGTAATCATATCACCAAATGCTTGCTCGCCTTAGAAGAGATTCTTCAAATTTGTATCTTTCGGATTTTCAGCATCTTGCAGACTGCCGCCGGTGAAGAGGCTGGCAGTTGTACCATTGTATTCTGAGTCTTGTAGTTTATGATCTGGCTCGCCGATTTGTTTTCTTTTCTTTTCAATCAGAATCCGGTTAATTTTTGTGTGTATCTATTAGGGCCTTTGAACTTTGGAATCTGGCACCTTAGTGCCTTGTTTAGGCACTGATGGTGTAGTGCCTTAAAATCAGAGAAGCTATACGTACTGCAGAATCTTATCAAATGGCATATAAATTGTACCGATTTCATGTTAGCTCGACTGTTTTCGTACACATATCGACTTATAGTACCCTATCAGGTTGATCATTTTGTGACCACAAACTCGATCAAATCGTAGCAGTCGTACTTATCTTGAATACGTATCATTCTCCCTGTACATACCCCTCTCGTCGCCATTTGAAGTGGACTCCTAAGAAGCTTAGTTCCCTCTTTCGTTTACAAGTTTGGCAAAAATCGATGGCTATGTCAACTTACGGATACTTTACTGTACCACATCTTGTCATCTTGTCAACGCTGCAGTGACTTTATAGTGCCATTACTACACTTATTGATCAATAATACTACATATAAACATATCATTGATTGCGTGCCTGGAAGCAGCTCCTGCAATAATTCCAACCTTCAGCGTCGCCGTCGACAGCTACCTCCATGCAAAATTAACAAATATATATTCGTTTTCCAGCGGCCAAATTCACTTCGATAGCCAAAACTTTGACGTTTGTGACAAATATAGCCACTTTTGGAGAAATACCAGAAATAGCCAGAATTTTGAAAGTTCGATGACAAATATAGCCATTTCCGTTACATAGTTTGACGGCGTCAATAACACCGTTAGTCAAATTAACCAAACGCTTACCTGGCTGCCAACTCACCGGACACATCATTGACAACTCAACAATACTTGCCATGTCATTTTTTAATTTAAAAATAAATAAAAATGATAATTTTTTTTTATCCCCTCTCCTCTCCCACCACTCGCCGTCGAAGAACTCTTTCCTCTCCCTCTCCTTCCACCACTGATTCCAACCCCAAACCCAGAGACAGAGAAGGCGAACTCGACTCCAGGTTACAATACTGCTGCACAACAAGCACCGACGTCCTCGCCGCGAAATTCGACGACGCCAACAAATCCCCAATCGCCCTCAATTCAGGGCACTCGCTCCAGTCCGTCAACCCCGCTATCAACGGCGAAGTCATCCCTTGTCCCCCTCCCCACAATAAACAGATTGTGCCCTCTATGGCTCTATCCATCGACCGAATCGCCGCCACCGTCTCCTCGCCATTACTCGCCACGATCTCCGAATACGACACCGAATCGCCGTTCGAATTCGCCATTTTGAAATCCCTAATTATCTCCTCGTCTAGCTTGTTCCTACCTCGATAATCCAGCCCCGCCGCTCCCTCCACCGCCAGATCCACACTCAGATCTCGACTTTCAGATCCGCGAAGGCTGCGACGACCGCCTCCTGCTGGTGCTACTGCTCCGGCGGCGGTGGCGTTCTCCTCTGGGATGAACCTCACGACGGTGACAAAATCCCTGGGTGCTCCAACATCCTCCAAGCGTACGACAGCGCCTCCCGATCGTCGGGCCCGTCGAAGAACAACACCGCCACGTGGTGCTGGACCTGATTCGTCCCCGTCCCCTGGGTGCTCCACGATGATGATACTGCAACAGCGATGAAGATCTGGGTGCGATGGCATAGGGGCGGATCGATGGTGGCCGGTAGTGGGAGACGATGGCGAGCAGCATAACAGGGGAAGATCGATTCGGGGGAGTTAACTGGTTGGAGAAGATGATGCGAAGGTGAAGGTGGTCTGACGGGTTTCGATTTGAAGGGGAAGGAAGAGGATGATGATTTGGGGGATGTGGGGTTGAAACCGGAGTTGGGTTTAGGGGAATGTGGGGTTTGGACAATTTTTATTTTTTTATTTAGTTTTTCATTAATCTATGTGGCAATGTTGTTTAAAAATGTCACCACCATCTCAGCAATGTCGTTAGTCCAGTCAGCTATTTGGTTAACACCGTCAAAGAATTGGACGGAAGTGGCTATTATTGGTATTTCCCCAAAAATGGCTATATTTGGCAAAATCGTCAAAGTTTTGGCTATACAAGTGTATTTGGCCTTTTCCAGCCTTGATTAATTATTAGACCCCCATTAAGATCTCAACTTTCCAACCAACTTCATTAAGTGAATGATACGATTAAGATCTCGTCGCCGACGACTCTGCTATCGTTGGCTATAAAAGCTTCAGGAAAACTGCGAAACTTACACCGGCCGATGTGATCAGATCATCAGAATCTTCTCCTTCCTTCCCAAGAAAAAAAAAACAGTGGAAAGAAAAAGAAAAGAAATGTCGTCAAAACCTGTCCTACTACTTACTACAATCTGTTATTACTCCCTCGTGTTCTCCCTGCTCGTCAACTTTCACTCGTCGTCGGCCAGCAGTAGCACGAATGAAACAGACCGACTCGCGTTGCTCGAATTCCGAAATGGAATCTTCAGCGACCCGGACGGAGTTTTCCAGTCCTGGAACGATTCGGTCCATTTCTGCAGCTGGTTCGGCGTTTCCTGCAGCGCCCAACAACGAGTCATATCTCTAGCCATCCCGCAGCAGAGCCTGGCGGGCACTCTGTCTCCATACATTGGCAACCTCAGCTTCCTTCAAGCTATCAGCCTGGATAGAAATGCTTTCCATGGCGAGATCCCCAAGGAAATCAGCGACCTACTCCACCTCCAGGAATTGAATCTCAGCAGGAACTTTTTCGAAGGGGAAATTCTAGACTACCTGACGCGGTGCTCCGAGCTCAGGATCATTAATTTGCAGTTCAATCACTTGCAAGGGACGATCCCTCGGGAGATCGGGTCGCTGTCCAAGCTTGTGTCAGTGAGGATTCACGAGAACAATTTGACTGGGGAAATCCCGCCTTCGGTGGGGAACCTGTCGAACCTGATCGACTTTGGAGCTTCATTTCTCAACTTGGTCGGAACGATTCCGGCGAGTTTGGGCAACCTGCGCAGCTTGTACTCCATCTCTCTCGCCGGAAACCAACTTTCCGGTCCGATTCCAAGAGCTTTCTTGAACAACACGTCAGTGGCGGTCATCGCCATTCCTTGGAACCAATTCACAGGTAGTTTGCCCGAGGACATAGGCTTCACTCTGCCAAATCTCCAGAAGTTCGCCATTTCAAAGAACGAATTCGTGGGGGGCGTCCCTGAATCGCTCTGCAATGCCACGGGGCTGCAGATGCTGGACATGAACAAGAACGGTTTCAAGGGTCGGATTCCCAATTGTCTCGGGACTTTGCCCGAATTCAAATGGCTATCGATGGCGATTAATGACCTTGGCAGTTACTCTGTCGCTGACTTTGAGTTCCTGACAGGGCTGCAAAATTGTACACAACTACAATGGCTCGACATAAGTAGTAACAATTTCGGAGGTGCTTTACCGGGCTCCATGGCTAACCTCTCGGTCCAGATCGCGATACTTAGCGTTGCGAATAATCGATTGACAGGAGAAATCCACTCCGGTTGGGAGAAATTCATCCACCTGAACGAGCTGAGACTGAGTAACAACCTCTTCCACGGCATCATTCCCTCTTACTTCAGCAAGTTTCCAAATTTGGAAAGCTTGCACCTGCAAGGAAATCAGCTATCAGGACGAATTCCGACCACAATCAGCAACCTGACTCAGTTGTCGGAGCTCGACATCTCGGACAACAGACTAGAAGGCCTGATTCCCTCGGGCATCGGATCGTGTGTGCATTTGAACTACTTGGATGTTTCGGAGAATGCTCTCGCCGGTGCTATCCCAGGGGATGTTTTCGCTCTTCCTTCGCTGACCAAACTACTGAACCTGTCGTGCAACATGTTCACCGGCAGCCTGCCTCGAGAAGTTGGCAAGTTGGATTCTTTAAACGCTTTGGATCTTTCTCATAATTTTCTGACAGGGGAAATTCCAAACACCATTGGGGATTGCAAGAGCTTGGAGTATCTCTACTTGCAAGGGAATTCCTTCAACAGTTCCATCCCTCCATCTTTAGCTTCATTGAAAGGCCTTGAAGTGCTGGATCTTTCACTCAACAACTTACGTGGAGAGATTCCGATAGATCTTCAGAACATTAGCCTTCTCCAGTATCTGAATCTTTCCTTCAATCACCTTCAGGGTCAGGTGCCAAAGGAAGGCATCTTTTCAAATGCAAGCAGCGTATCATTAGTAGGAAATAATATGCTCTGCGGCGGCGTGTTGGATCTCAATTTCCCAAAATGTCCAACTTACAAAGCTGTAGCGCGCCATGGCAACAAGTCTCAGAGAATGAGAACTTGGCTCACAGCTATTTCTGTTTCTGTGGGTCTCGTTTCATTGTTCGCCTTTCTATTGATCTTCAAGGCGAGAAGGTCGAAGAAGAAACCGTCTCTCGATTATCCAATTTTACCGAGCTTCATGAGGGTTTCGTACAGAGACCTCTACAAGGCCACTGATGGGTTCTCTTCAGGCTGTTTGATCGGCTCCGGCAGCTTTGGCAATGTCTATAAAGCCAATCTGGAGGAAACTGACACACCAGTAGTAGCTGTCAAAGTGCTGAAGCTGGAACAAAGGAAGGCTTACAAGAGCTTGGCGGCAGAATGCAATGCATTGAGAAGCATCAGGCATCGAAATCTCGTCAGGGTTTTGTCCTTCTGCTCCAGTTTGGACAACAATGGCGACGAATTCAGAGCTCTGGTCTTCGAGTACATGCCGAATGGGAACCTGGAGAAATGGTTGCACCCCGTGGATGGTTCTTCGCGGAGTTTGAGCCTCACTCAAAGGCTCGACATCGCAATCGATGTGGCATCCGCCCTACACTATCTTCACGACCTCTGCGAAACCCCAATCGTCCATTGCGATTTGAAACCGAGCAACGTGCTTCTAAGCGATGACATGGTTGCTCATTTGAGTGATTTCGGCATTGCAAGGATACTTTCAGTTGAGGAGGACAGTGCATTCTCCAGCACCATCGGCATCAAAGGAACAATTGGGTATACCCCTCCAGGTTAGCATAAACCCTAAATCTTGATTTCCCATTTCTGCAATTCCAACAATTTTTTTTTTGGGGTTACCATGGCAGAGTATGGAATGGGCAGCATTGCGTCGAAAGAAGGCGATGTCTACAGCTTCGGCATCCTGCTGTTGGAATTGTTCTCTGGAAAAAGACCTACTGACAACATGTTCGTAGAAGGCCGGAATCTCCCAGACTTTGTGAGGACCGGTCTGCGAGATATGATATCCGTCGTATTGGATCCGCTGCTTTTACCCGGTGGTGGAGACGGAATTGAACCGACGATGGAGGGAGAAGGCAGCAGCAATGAGATCACTGAAGAAGAAGTCGCACTGCGGCAAAGAGACAGCAATTTTACAGAAAGGGTAATGAGGTCAAGCCAATACCAGAATTGCATGATTTCAGTGGTGGAAATCGGAATAGCTTGCTCTCTGGAGTCGCCGGCGGAGCGGATGAAGACGATGGACGTTTCAATCAAGTTACAGTCCATTAGGGAATCTTTCTTGGCGAGCACCGTCCGTCGAACCAGAGCACGACCAGCTCTGGATCCGGTGTAACTGGGGAATCTGCGAGAGCAACTCCCTTCCAGTTAAATTATAGCATCCGCTGAGGATCGAACCTGGGTCGTTGGGGGACCGGCGGCAATGCATCCGCATTTGAATCAAAGTCGTTTGGTTAATTTAGTTTTAGGTTCTTTATTTTGCGAATAAGTTACACTTAGGGGTCGTTTGGAAGTTGTGATTGTTAGAGTTGTGTTTGTTGAATACATGTATTATGCACAATACAATGTTTGGAAGTGTCAAATTGTAAAACAATGCATGCATTGTTTTAGGTAGGTCCCACCAACAATCACTAAAAGTTGAGATTGTTGGTTTTAGATTTGTGTCAACTTTTTCTTTCCATTTATATCCCTAAAAGTTTTTGTCTTATTCTAAAAGTTGAGGGTAAATGTGATATTTCCTCATAAAAGTAACTTTATGTAAATCAATGCATAAAATAGAATCTCAACAACCAAACAATATATTGTTAAAATGCATCCATTATATCAATACATGCATTTATTTATGGTGATTCATTACAATGCAACGATTTAACATTCGCAACTTCCAAACGACCCCTTAGAGTATTGTCATGTTAATTGAGATCCTTTAGCTCAATTGTAGAGTCAAGCTAGAGAGTGTTAAGAAATGGGCTAGAAAGCCAGGAATACGGGGTTGGAATCTGTTGGTCATGGCCTAAATCAGTGGCTAGAATCGTGTACTTATAGTTTGTTCAGTTCAACAACGAAGAACTTGTCAGTTTCCATTTCATTAAATGTTAACAAGGTGGTATTAAAGCATGATTTACAAGTTGTAACTAAAGCGATCTATGAGACTTTGAGAAAGAGAGGAGTGAAAAAGTTTGATTCCTGGATTGTGAAACACGAGAGAAACAGTGGGCAAGTTAATTCCAGGTGAAGATCAATCACGAGCAAATGTAGCTTTGTTTAGGTCTTCATTCCCAAGTTTAATGAGAATTTTGACCACTTGAGTTTGATAATGGGGAACTTACTACGAGCCAAAGAGTATTGGTCAGTAGTTCATGAAGAAATAAATAAAACCTCCACAAGGAGTCTACTATCTGGAGCTCAACAAAAGGTCATGGATGAGAATCGGTTGAAAAATAAGAATACAAAGAATTACCTTTTCGGTTTCATTGATAGTGGTATCCTGAAAACCATCCCTCTGAAAGCAACATCCAAAGCACTGTGTAGTTTGATAAGAGCATCATAAATTTTCGAGCTTGATAAGAGTTTGAAAGCAGCCTCCTTAACCAAT